GCGTCGGCTGTGGTTCCGGTGATAGCGAACCTCCGAAGAGTGCGCGCTCTCTGATGACGCACTTTCGGCGCCGTTTCATTGATGCCTCTAGTTTTGGTACTTTTCGTGTCGCCGACGTGTTTTCGCTCAAGGACTTCGAAGGTCGACTGAACGATGAGATATATAAGGCTTTCACCTTAAAACTCGTAGAAGCCTGCTTCATTAACAAGATAGGTCACGACTGCATAAGCATGCAATCAGTTTCACTATCAGATAGAAATAGCTTTTTTTGAATGGTCATGTTTAATCTCCCTTTTATCGTCGCGAGCTGATTACTACTACTTATAGACCCTTTTGCTGTTTACAAACATAGACCGCTGGCTGCGTCCCAAGGGACTTCCGGTCGCTCAGTCTTTGCAAGCCTGTCGAGCTTGCTTATGTCACCAGCTAGAAAGCATAAATGCTACACGGACAAACAAAGTTGGAGTTTTAGCTACAGCCTTCGGCTGTGCAAGTGAACGTCTTGGAGGAGGCAAGTTGGTTTACAAGAATATTCGCAAAGTTTGAACAGATCTTGCGCTTCCTGGTTCTTTTGGCGTTCGCCTGAAGAATCGGTGGCTAAATATTTCACTGAAGTTTCAAGCAGCTGTGTTAATGGCAAACTGAAGCGGTTCTGTATTTCAGAAAAAAAAAAACATTTCAATGGCCTTCCTCCTCCAGGGTCACGAATATCGAGATTATTTTTCACTTTGGCGCAAGGAGGCTGCAGAAATTATTTTTTAAAGTACCGCCGAGGCCCCTCCTTCCCCGGGCATGACGTCATACTAGGAGTTTTAGGAATCTCTCCTCTCGCACGTCTTCAGTGCCTGTCAAAGCTATGCAGGCGTACACTTGCTATTTTCGAAAAGGTAAGAAGGAGACGTCACGACTGGTGTCAATGCGAAAAACTATACCTGACAAGCTTGCAATTGCACGCGCTGCCCACACGAGCGACACGCGCTTGGCGGCCCAAGGATCCTGGTATGACGTCACGACTAGTCGGAGGTTTTTCGCGTTTTCTCGCGTTTAGTTACATCTTCGGGGAAAATGAACGTGATATTCAGATTCACGGGATAAAAATACGCCAGAATTCACCTCCAACTCGTTTTTTTCGTGAAGTGTTTAGAGCTTACTGAAAGGGACAATGAAGGCAATTTCGGATATTTTTTTGGCGATTGAACTGGCTTCCAGGCACGTCCCAGGCAACGTTGCGCAAATTTCAGTTGAAACCGGCGCTTGTGTGCCACGCAAATCAATTAAACAGTCGCGGTGATAATCGTACCGGCATCGACTGAGGCGATGCCCCGAGAGTTGCAGGAGAAGCCAGGGGAAGCGGAGCTCACGTGACCGTTGCGGGGCAAGAGGCGCGACGTCACAAGAGACGCGTCAGCGATTGGTCAAAACGAGAGACGTGCCCTCGGTCATGTTTTGGTTCGAGATTTTTAGGAATACTGCTCTAATTTCCGCTTGAGAAATATAAATGATTAGTAAACCGGGTAAATAAAACAGCATAATTGTTTTTCTCTTTCCTACACTGGACGCGAAACGGGCAACGAGCAACTATGGGCAAACAGAATAAAATAAAATAAAGAACACGCGGGAGACGTCTGGTTTTGGTTTTCGACGTAGGTGTCGTGTTTACTTTGGGAACACGATACTCGAAGGATTCTGCAAAATGGTAGTCATGCCAAACTTGTGCGCTGTAGATTGCTGTTCTAACGGTCGAGTGAATACCAGTATTCGTTCGGGCGACGCTAGTTTTCACGTGTGGGTTGCTGTTCGTGTTCTTTGACGACGAAAAGAGAGGACGTCCGACTTTGGCAAAAACCAAACATGGTGATGTCTATTTTCTCCTTCTTGGGGAGCGCCCCGCGCGGAGGAACCGGTTCCCGCTGCCGCTGTCCCGTCGGCATCTCCCCCGCGTCCCTCTCCTTCGGCAACGCGCCGCTCTCGTTTCGCCCGCGCGAATGTTGCCGACACAGACGTGTCTTTGTGGCAGGTTAAGGTCTCCCCTAAAGTGCAAGAATATGTAAAGAATAAAAGTGTATTTCTGTGTAGGCAACCAACTCTTTATTCTTCTGGAATGCAATTAGTACAGACAATACCTTACGAGACTAATATGTTAGTCTTGGGTGTACATCACGAACTTAGCGGATCCTTTAATCAAGACTACGACGGAGACGAAATGACTTTGTACGTAACCGAAACGGAATATACTCCTTGTGAACCTGATGCGATATTAAATTCCTTGTCCGTCTTGATGTTTTCTGAACTCAACGGAACAAATATAGTCAAATGTTCTTATAACACAGTCATGGCTTTTTTTGTTTTGACTTCATGGCCAGACGACGTACTGGAATGGTGGTTTGTAGACTATCTTAAAAATAAACATGCAAAGGATCAACATGAATTGAGGAAAATACAGAACATAAAGACGTATAAAGATTTTTTTTTATTCTTAACGTATATGTGGGTGTTTGGGGGTAATCCTTCCGAATTTCAATGGACCAGCGATTTGGTCGTGGAAGCATTTGGATCTTGGCCTTGGACGAAAAAAAATACCACACTATTTGATCTTTTTGCAATAAGAGCATGCAAAGGAGACGAAGAACGATTATTAAGTAATAGAAGTAGAATTACTCGATTTTGTGACGACTTTATGACGCAATACGGTTTTGACATATCCGCAAAGGAAATTTCTCGTTGTTCTGAATTGTTTAAAAAGAAGTTTGGTAAAGTTCCAGAACATTTTGAGGAAACGAAATCGATGGTTGATTATTGGCAAAAAGTTACGAGCACAGTTATGGACATTCTAGACGAAAGAGATACCTTATCCGTGATGGTGAATTCCGGAGCTAAAGCGACACCTGTACACGTATTACAAGCCATAGGTTGTATTGGACCGTCTGTGGTTAATTTTTATTCTCGAAATTTTGCTAAAATGTGCAGAGATGTGGGTGTGTGTGTTTTTGGGGGAGATGATAGTAACATCGGTGGAGACGTTTCGTGTGCTTGGTTATACGATAATCTTTGGGACGGTTTGCGACCGGTACAACAATTCATAATGTCCTGTAATTCCATAGAAAATATGGTAAGATCTATTGTGTGTACTGGTGAAGGTGGTTATTGGCGTCGTTCCGTTCAATTTACTCTTGACGGACTTGCAATTAAAGAAACATTTTCTGTAGTTGATGTGGACCACGACGAATTTGTGTATCCGCCGGTGTGTAATGTAGGTGGTGCGGCGGATTATGTATCTAGTCAATTTTTCACGAGGTTTGGAATACCGTATTATATTAACTCAACCGATGATATAACGGCCAAATGTGTAACTTTCGATAGTGGTATGCAAATACACGCGAACGATGTGGATTATTTTGTAGATTCCGACGGCGGTCTAGTGCGTTTAACTCATACGAAAAGTTTGCATTATTATGTTAACTCTTTAATTAAAGGAAACAATAAAACATGATTATTAAAACCGAGAAATTTCAATGTATTCTTTAATTGTTCGCAATCTACATCTATATTTGCAATTTGGATTTAAACAATCCCAAATGAGACTGGCAATGTCTCCTGGAGCATCGTATAACAACGACATGGTGTATTTTTCTAAACGCATGATCGCTTCGGGACATCCGATACCAGCAGCCACGAAATCTGATTCGTCAAAATTTTCAAACGGTAAATGTAAAAAATACATTTCATATAATAAGACGCCTAAACTCCATGACATTAACAGTTCTGCATTGTACGACTTCCTTTCTCCGCGATAAAATGCAATTGCTTCTGGTGACGAGTACGGTAATGTGCTTTTGAAAGTCCGAACGCGTTTATTCACAAGATGCACGTCACTCCAATCTATAACTGTACACTTCATATCCTTATCTATTACGATATTTCCAGATTTAATATCGCAATGGTACACTTTACATTTCTTTACAGTTTCATAAAGTACGTTGAAGACTTGACGAAATATATCTCGAATATTTAAAAGTTTATGAGAGTATAACAGATCTCGTAAAGACGTGCTTCCCGTATCGAAAAATGCTAAAAAACCGAATGTTTTATTCGACCATTGCTTTAGACACATTGGAATTCCTCTTATAGATCGTTGAGATAGAGTCTTTAAAATAACGTATTCAGCCTGAAGTCCAGTTTTCCATTTACTTATTTTAAGGATTATGCTCCTTTCCTTGGAAAGCCAAACTCTGAATACTTTAGAATGTGCACCGCGACCTAAATATTCATACGTTATATCCATGGTGTTGTACACACTTTTTAACATTTTATTTCTTTCATTCGAACATATGTATGTATATAATGAAATAAACATTATAAAAATATATACTTAAAATGAATACCAAGTTATTTACCACTTTCGTACCAAAGTACAATATGCCTTATCATTTGAGCGAAGAAATGACGAGTATGCTAAAGAATATCGCGAACGTATTTCGCACTGGCATTGTCCCCACCATTGATATATCGAAAGACCTCACTATGCAATACATACAATTTATTAATTCAGTTGAAAAACACGTTGACGCTCCTTTGGTTTTCGAATCACGTGAAAAAATTGATCCAGACGACGTTCAAGTCATCGTCGATGTTATAAACTGGTTGGGTGCGAATCTTACTGGTACTGTTCATCACATCTACGATAGTTTAGATAGCGAAGACTTCTATGATGCCATAGAAGACGACGGTATTACAACGACTACGGTTTAAAAAAAAATATGCGAATATTTATGTATAGAACTATATTATGCAAAAAATAAACTGATTATCAAGTACATGTAATGTTTATTTTGTGGGAGAAGATATGTCTTTACTTCCCAACGTAATTGGAATTCATCATCAAATTAGAATAATATATTCTATGAGTAATAGTGGGGATGTAAACACGCTTTTAAATAATGCTCAATTTCAAAATGTCACTTTAGAACGTAGAATAGATAAAAACGTAGTTGAAAAAACTCATTTACAAGATTTATTCGTTTCAAAAAATATAGCTCGTGCATATGATTTGTTTAGACAGCAATAAAAACCACTAAATGTCTACCGCCTTTGAATATGCTCTGCTACACCGTGGATACGACGTCTCTATTACGAGTAAATTGGGAGAAGGTGGTTTTGGTATCGTATACGCGGGAGTACGCTTGAACGATAACGCTCCTATAGCTGTTAAATATATTTATCACAAAGATGTTTGGAGGTGGCATACTGTGAAACAACCGTTTCAATCGAAAATACCAATGGAAATACACATGTTGAAAAGAGTAAATAAAGTTGATGGTACTATTAAGTTGTACGATTGGTTCAAAATTGAACACGGTTATGTATTGGTTATGGAGAGATCGATTAAAAGTATCTCACTTTATTCATATATGAAGACGCATGTTCTCAACGAAAAAGAAATTATTAATATATTTAAACGTCTCGCACAAATAACTTACGACTGTTGGTTCAAATGTGGAATTATTCACTGTGATTTAAAAGAAGCAAATATACTCATCAATAAAGAAACAATGGCAATTACCATTTTAGATTTCGATTTTGCAGTAGAGTGTTCAAAACGTCTTAGGAGAACATACGCAGGAACACCACTTTATGCGCCACCAGAATGGTATATAAATGGTATATATTACCCCGAGAGCACCGTCGTATGGACTCTAGGCGTTATACTCTGGAAGCTATTGTTCAGAAAAAGCCCTTTCAAGACAACGAAAGACATTAGGAAATTCGAAACTTTAGAAACCATTGACCCTTTTGAAACAGAGAAACTGTTATATTCTTCAAATGTTATTTCTTTGTTAACGTCACTCATGAGGAAAAAAATAAACGAAAGGCCCGGTATAGACGTACTTCACAAGTTAGCGCTAAGTCTTTGACAAGAACAATTGTACGTTTTGAAATAAAGTGTTTCAATAATCAAAAAAACACACACAAAAAATATCTTGTGGAGGGTATTGCTCTTAAAAACGTATGACATTTAATTATTACATTTTCTTTCGTATTCCTTCACATTTCTATACAATATACATATAGACTTTTCTTTGCGTTAGTGTTATTGTAAAGAAAAAATAGAGTGTGTGGAGTGGTATATAAAAAAGACCCACCCCCAAAAAAGAGAGTGTGGGGGTGTGTATATGTTGTCTATACGAAGTTTACGTGCTTTTTTTGTGTATGTGTGTGTGTCTGTGTGCGTCTGGGTGTTGGTAGAATGAAAGAAAGAAGATATTGGATGAGAGTGTACCATGCTCTCTGATTGGATGGGTACGTTAATAAAACAATATTTATCCCTTCCAAAAGCATTTGTTTATATTGTGGCTGTTATTTTTTTTTTCGTATAGTAACACGAGACGCTACGCATATTTGCCTATATATAGGCCGTACATGTAACTACGAATATCAGTCTACGAGATGAACTTCCCTAAAAAGGATCGTAAGCGTAAGAGTGGCAGTTCGTTCGGCGCACGGACTTCTTCTTCTTCTTCCGAGCCTATAGCCGTACTCGTACCATCGAATACGTCGTTTTCAGATTCACCGTCTATGCAACTGCAAACTAAAAGTAAACGTCGTCGAAGAGGGAATAGAAGTTCGTCGATTGATTTGAATGAAGAAAAGGTTAATTCATTGTTTCTCAAGAAAAGAAGTTTGACGAGATGTGCTAAGCAGTATGGAAGCGTATTGCCAATCTTCGAAGAACTCCCATCGGATTGGGATATGCTAACTTTTAAAATAGTGATGCCTAACAACATTATAAAAGATTTAATTCATTTAACAGTCTTTTATTCGACTCAGGATTTTATACCAGCAATAGATACGTCCATGTATCTACCATACATGGATGTTAAGTTAATTAGAGATCTTCAAGAAAGATCCGTTGCTAAAAGTTTGATGGTAGTGCTCAAGAAAACCATAGAGAAGTTAGACTCGAAGATATTGTTGCCACTAAGAAAAGATATGGATAGAAGCAAATTATTTTACTACCGCTCTGGGAAGAATATTTCAATTCAACCTAATGTTTTGCAACCCATTATATTAGAGAGTATTACAGTTATGAAACCAGTATGGAATATTGGTTTTAATCTATTCAATGGATATACATTACCGTATTATTATCCGTACAAATATATAGCCACCAAGACTCACCGACCCACTGTTGGGAACAGTGCTATGCTCGAATATTTTATGATACCAGCATTAACGTCGCAGGAGGTCCGAAACAACATCAAGGAATTCTTACACGAAACTCCATCTGATCAACAGGACGTTATGGTGAATCAAATCGTAGAAAGCATCAAGACGGTTTGTACCCTTCCCATGTTTACAACCGACGACGATTTATGGAACGTGTTTTCAAAATTCGTCATCAGTCAGAAAAACGATTTGGATTCCATGAGCAGCATTGTCGAAAGTATGTGTGCATATCCAGCCATTTGGGAACAACCACACGTGTACGCAAGCGGTGTGCGGAGTGTGAATGCGCAAGTTCCTTGGGACTTTCTGAAGGAATTTTTGACTAATATTTTTTTTTCGTGTAAAAATGAGGGTAATCAACTGGACACTTCTTTACTCGAAGCTTCTTTTTTCTTTTACGTCATTTATAGTGTAATTCGATACAGTGATCCCATGGATTGTACCTTTATTATCGAATGCACAAATGTACAAGTATTGGCAGAATTCTATTTGAGGATGCGACCTATACTAAATCCCTTTAACATGAAGCTGAATACTCCAGCTTCCTTATTTATGGTGAGGCATAACATAAAGTCTATCGTCGATTCAAACTTTGGCACTGTCAATGAGAACATGAAACATGCACAAGAAGGCAAACGCACTGCTGTGGGGTTCGCTCACATTGCAAGGCATACTATTACAAATCCAAAAACCTCTAATAGAGGAAATAAAAAAAGTTTCATATTTCATCTTACGAATTTTTGGGAATCTGGTCAAGACGAAGCCTTTGCCAATAGGTTCTTGCACCCACAAATCTTCATTGATACAATGAGTACTCTTATGAGTATTTATACTAATACAAACGTTGAAGACATTACGGACACTCGTCTACATATGTGGTCTAAACAATGTCTTAGTGAAGTACTTAATTCAATCCGTATATTCACGAGAATAATGCCATCAAGCAACAATTGTGTCGCCGCTGCTGCTGCTGCTGCTGCTGAAAGCAATGAGAAGGAAACACCTCAAACTTCTGCTGCAATACAAGTGTCAACGGACGATCCAGAGGATCAGGTTTTTCAAGATGTGCGAGATCGCATTAACCAATTGACAGAATCTTCGGATCCCTGGGGAGGATGTGACGAAGACATGGCATGGACATCGAGAATCGACAACGCTTCGAATGGTAAGTGTATTTTTTTTTTATTCTTTGGTTAGTAATTATTTGTATTCATTTCGTAATATAATCAAAATTGAACAAATATCGCTTTCATTTTACAGAAGAACCAATGCTGGGGGTAGGGGGTTCCGAAGAGGAAAAAGAAGGGCTCGATAAGCCGACCGAACATGGTGTTGACAACGCAGTAGAAGATGGCAAGGAATATCAGGCTGCGATTACCCAAGTTCGCAAAAACAACGAAGAAGAGTGCATAACACAAGTTGTAAAAAGCTATGACGGACAACCGATATGCCAGGAAGAGTCCCAATATCATGGAAGCGAAAGAGCGCTTATTGGTAACGATGGCATAGTTATTCAAGATTGCCAATACGATAAAGAGTGTGATATACAATTCATGACTAATGGGGAAGAAGAAATGTGTGACAAACATAAGCGCTACTCTGAAGCAGGCGCTTGTGACAACGTTGAACTCTATGATAAAGTTAATGGAGATATCGACGACCGACCAGCACCGCCTTTGGTGGACGAGGTGTCCTGGCAACCACCACTCAATCTTGACGATGTTCTGAAACGTATGTCAATAATTTATTGTATAACATAGTTTTATGATTGTTTTATTTATTTGTCTATTTATCTACATTACAGAATCCATTGCCGAGTGTGATTTACCTTGCAATGAAGATGTCGGCTGTAACGAAGATGCACCCTGCATGCAAGGTCGAATCAATTTTGACGAGATCGATTTACGTACGTTATTTGTTTAGTTCTTCCCTTTCTATATATAATTTTTAATATTTAATTTTTCCTTTCATTACAGGTACACCATGTCCTAGCTCGTCAAAAGAACCTGGTACATCGATTATCAACAGGGTGGCTATTAATAACGTATGCAAGCGAAGATTAGCAGAAGAATTATTTCAAGGTATCCATACAGACTCTGAGTTTAATTTTGACCCTTGATTACTAAAGAGAGGATGAACAAGTCTTATATTGAAGATCTAATCAAATACGGTTTTGATAGTAATGACAGTATTGACGATTGTTTATCACAATCGTCAATATATGATACATTAATTGACGATAGCGTCTATAGTGATACTTATTGTGACAATGCGGACGATGATAATGACAATACATCGTATTATAATCGAGTCAAGAATGATGATCAAAACGACGTGGACGACAATGAAAACGACGTGGACGACAACGAAAACGAAGACGACATCGAAGACGAAGAAAAAAAATGTGAAATTGAATTTTGTAAAGACATCCCACCATGTAAAAACATGAAGATATAAGTGTGATTTCAATAAACATTTATGAAAAAATAACAACATTGTCATACTTTCCATCCCTCAGCAGAGACTTTATGTGAAGCTTTGGCTGTGTTGAGTAGGATAAAAGTTTGAAAAAGCAACTTAACATTTCGGCATCACCGAAATGTTAAGTTGCTTTTTCTTCCCCAGGTGAGATTCGAACTCACATCCTCGGCATAGCTCACAAGTACTGACTTATAAGTACCGCGCGCTAACCCATTGCGCCACTGGAGAATAGGATATATAAAAATGAATGACATGCTACACGATATTGAAGATTAAAATTTTTATTTTTCCATTCTACATCGATCTTACTGTGTTTTTTTTTTCATAACGTTCTTGTGGTGTACGAAGTAGGAATACTTGAAGAAGGAGAATAGGAAAACTAATTTTTACATTACATTGAAATATTATAAGTAACCAAATACACCGCTGTTTTCTATAATAAATGCTTGTGCCAAATCGGCTTTACGTATCGTTTTACGATCATGATATTGAGCAAAAGCTTTAGCTCGGTATATCGTAGTATATAAATACATTCTAATAACGTCATGTACACTCTCGTTTAAGGATTTTGATATTCGAGTAATGCTACTTCGAAGACTTAGACGTTTAATTTCGTTTTTGCAAAGATAAACACCTCTAGTGGTTTGGTCGAGCTCACGTGCACGTCGCTGTGCAGTTCGTTTTTGCGCAGGTGTTAGTGGTGGCATTTTTTTAATAAATTATTCTATATATGTGTTTTTATGAATTGTATCTAGATATAGGTTTTTTTTATTGATTCAATTACTAATCGTAGTATGTGGAGAATGAGGTGGTTCTTCCCATAAATTAGACAAAACGTCTTTCACGATTTGTCCGAAAGATTTTGCATCATCCGCGTTATTATCAAACAAGTCTTCTTTACTTTTAGGCTCTTGCATAGCATGGTTTATATAATCTTTTAAAAATGACTCGTTGCTTGCTCCCCTGTTCATTGTGTCGTAAGCAGCGTCCAACCAATCGTCGACGGAGGTTTCTTTTGACGTGTGGCGAGAAGGGCTGTATTTATTATCGAACCACGCAGTTCCTAGAAGAAGCTTCCCGTTATTAAACAATTCGTCAATGGCCATTACGTCTTTGTGCGTCAAAGAATTGTCTGCATTTTTATAACGTGTATATAATCCCTCCTCCGAACAGTTTAACGGTACAAATTTTTCGTCGTCGAGAAGATTAAGAAGGTGTGCCGCAGAGTATATTGTCCGGTTACATTGTTTGCGTAACCAGTCGTGACCGTCTTTACTTAACAAAGCCGTCTTCAGGAATATGTGGTGCAACATATTTTGTTATAACAACAACGTCATGCCACTCTTCCACCGGCTCATTGCCATAATGAAACGTGCTTCAAATACCAACGAAGTTTCTCCACGTGAGTTTGTGACGTTCCTCTATCTCCTGGAACAAATTCAAATATCTGTTGTGAAAACGGTTGGAAGTCATCTATGTTTAAACACTGTGGTTGGCGTGTTTCATTTCATAACAGACGGCAAATATCGTAGAGTCATGAATTATTTTATTCATCTCGTCAAAAACCAATTATGGTATTTCGAGACTCTATGCAAGTACATAGACTACCGAATATACGAACACGACGAACGTGCTCTGTTATCCGTTATACCTACATATATGCCAATTTGGTTGGCAAATTCTTCAGATATGGATAGCATAATATATTGCGAAACGATGAACATTTTAAATGTCAGTACTACTAGTTCAATTAATTTTTTTATTGCATGTGTACGCAAATTGAGTTTAATGTTGTCGATGCATCCATTGTGTGTTTTAACAGACGTCGTTCAGCCTTATACAATACCAAACCCAACGATTCACGAAAAGTTTTTACATATAATATATAGTAAAAATGTTTACTATAACGTGTGTGATTATTTAGAGTGGTTTGAATCAAAAAAACTTTCTCGTGCGTGAATTATCTTGACTACGCTAAAAAAATAACGAGATAAAAAAGTATGGGTAAAGATAAATACCGAAAACATAGAAAACACCGCAACCACCATCATCATCATCACCACCACTACCACAACATCGTAGTCGAGTGCCTGATTCTTGACGAGTGGAACGAGGGAGACGATATGGTAGAGAATAAAAGGGAAAATACTAGCAGATACAATCGTTTTATAAACGAACGGACCACCACGCCTGTAGTCAGAAAAAATGTTCCGCCCGATGAAGAAGCAGCCTTACCCGATACAGACGCAAATAGTTCAAACTATATTGGAGGCGGCAAGTAAACGCGAACATGTAATGATCGAGTCGCCAACTGGATCTGGAAAGTCTTTGGCACTCATTAATGCAGCCAGTCAATGGATCACTTTACATCCGACTTCGAAGGTTTATTATTGTTCGAGAACTCATCAACAACTCGAACAAATCACCAATACCATTAGAGAAGTTGACCCTAACATACGTACGGTGCGACTTGTTGGTAAAGAGAAGTTATGCCTTTACAATACACCAGCTGGGGGTAACATGGCCAAAGTCTGTAAATGGATCAAAAGTACACATTGTTGTTATTTTAAAAACTTGGGAAAAACACAACCACCGGTACAAAGCGATCCAATTCTTGACGTAGAAGATTTGGTAACGAAGTGTTCCGAATTACAAATATGCCCTTACTATACTAATAACAGTTTTGTAAAGGACGCAAATATCATTCTTTCTCCATATAATTACATTTTGGATGCATCGATACGTAAAGTTGATTTGCACGATTCTTTAATTATAATAGACGAAGCTCATAATATCGAAAGTGTTTGTAGAGACAGTCTATCTTTTGAAATATCTATAACATCTTTGCAATCGTATAAAATGCAAGTGTCTAAAAACAGTTATATGTATAATTTTTTTAACAAATTAATTACAATGTATGAAAAATTCAAAGAAATAGCTTGTAAAAATAAATATTATATAATAACAGGAACTGCGTATTTATCTACGTTAACGAAACAGGTCAGCTTAGCTAACATACCTCAATTTCCACACAATCGCATCCTAAATCAGTTTATTGAAAAGTTTCAGCAACATGTGTCAAATTTAAACAATTTCAACGCGGATTGTTTTCGCTTAGTCGTCGAGGCTGATTTGTTTAGAATAATAAGTCTCGACCCACAACACGCTATGAAATCGGTAGTGGAAGTAGCGCGGACTATAGTTCTTGCGTCTGGGACACTGTCACCATTTAATTCGTACGAAGCCGAATTGGGAATGAACTTTAAGCATAAAATCACGGGAAATCATGTGGTGCATCCTGAAAATGTTTACATAAGACGTATTTCACATTCTATTGACGGTAAAATACCCTTTAGAATGACATATGGTGCATACAACGACAAAACGGTATTATCTGCCATTGGGCAGCTATTGTTAAAAATATGCGAATCTATCAAAGTGAACGAACAGTGTAGATTGGGTGGTTGTGGTGTGTTATGTTTTTTCCCATCCTACCAATCCATGTTAAAGTGTGCACAAGTGTGGAAGAATATAAATCCAGACGTGTGGACGTCTCTCATGGCTACTACAAATGGATGCATCTATTTCGAAAGCAACGACGAGACCGTCCATTCACACGTGGAATCCGTGGCCTGTGGTGAAGTGTCTATATTGTGTGCAGTGCATCGCGGAAGAATTAGTGAAGGCATGGACTTTGCCGATAATTTGGCACGCGTTGTGGTATCCATCGGAATCCCCTTTCCATCTATCGTGCAAGACGACGTCCGTCTCAAAATGGAATTCAACGACACTACAAAACCTCAAGTTCTCAACGGTCGTGAATGGTATCGCATCCAAGCTATGAGGGCTGTGAATCAAGCCGTCGGACGATGCATCCGACATTCGAAAGATTGGGGGGCCATGCTGCTCGTCGATCAACGCTTTCTTCAATGCGACACTTGGAAGGACATGTGCAATTGGATCAAGGTCATGGAAAATGGACGTCCGGCTGGCAACACTCGCAAGAATGGTGTAGTTCAAGAATTAACGAAATTTTTTAAGGATAAAGAATTGAAATAAAAAACAATGATCACGCTCGAAAGTCTCGTTTTGTCTTTGGAAGCGAATCGAAAACACATCAAAGTAGAATATTTACTATGTCTTGCAGCACATCAGGCAAACTCGGAGTTAAAACAATTAATATTTATCATAGTATTCATTTGGCTGAGATCACCTTCACTACTTTTACAGGTTCGTGAATATTTACAGCTATATCCAGAATACCAAAATGCATTAAATGCGCTTACGGACGAATCCTTTTCGTTTTGTGAAAAGCAACACGAGGGTACGAATGTATTCGAACCATTCACTGTCATTGCCTTACGCTTTGGGATCGGTTTGAATGACCAACAATCGAAATATATTACTAAGGTCATGGATACTTTGGCTATAGTAAACTATTTAACGAGATTTCATCAACGGCAAACGTGTATTAATCTTTGGCGAAGGGGTAAAATTAACGTGTGGATATTCTCAGAAATAATGGTGTCGGTACCCATAAAGGAGCGAACGTTGATCGAAATTATGCATCGTTGTCGTCATTTGGAAAAATATATGACAGAAGAATTCTTTGTAGAATTAGCTCAATCGTGGTCCAAAGTTGACGGATTGGTTTTAGATTTTAACATTTCTCAAATCGATATTAAGAAATACGAGAGTGATTTTGCGCAAACATTAATAGGTTACGTTCTGTCGAATGATTCAAACTATTTTTCGAAAGGTGTACCAGACCATATGCACGTTTTACAATATCACATGAAAGATTTAGAATACGAAAATATCGTGCCCAAATATTGGGCGAAGAAGGTTCACAAGAAAAATAATTTGTTAAAACACACAGCATGGATTGTCATGGAAATACTACTACGATTTGGAACACACGAGGCGGTCGAGTTTTTTAACAGTGACATAAAAGATATTTTTAAAGAAATTATTAAAGCATCAAAACTAGCTGGTGAAACAAAATCGGTGGACGTATCGGCCTATGTACATAGGCGCAATTTAACACTCAGATCTATTGGCTTAGCTGTGGAGGAGAAATACACGAATCAAATTGCTTCTATGAAGCTTCTTTTACACGCTATAGCAAACATTAAATCTCGTCGTCAACTTCAGAATATACGTATTACAATAGGAGCAAAATCAAATGATTATATAACCGTTTTCGAACTCTTTTATTCGCAACAACACGAATCTTTTAAAAATATAATGCAGTTGCTCGGTCACGTAGAGGACACAATCGAAATGGAGTTGCTAACTAAATTAATACATTTAGTGAAAACCGGTGATGAAACAAAGGTAAATTCGGCCGATGTCATATATAAATCTGATATACGCGCCTCGGAAATTTTAAAAAATACATTCAATATATATCCGTCTCCAAATAACGACACGCTATTATTAGATGAAGACGCATACGATTTCATCAAAACCATCATATCTACTCGTTTCGTACGTCTCTATTGGCATGCGTATAAGGGGCAGGTTAATGGTTCCGTCTTAAACATCAAAGAAGAAACTTGGCTTACTATGGAATTGTTATTAAATTACGACGAAACACCACAGATAAAATCTATATTGTATAATTTGCCAAACCATGCAAACTTTATTAAATCTGAAATTAAAACATTTCACGAGTCTAGAAAGACTACGATTGTGTCGTTTTACGAATACGATACTGAAAGAACGTGGTTATTAAAACGATATGGTGTCGCCGTTAACACAATTGTAGAAAACGAATTACAGGTATTAGATGCTATAATCGTTTTAACATCTCATTTAAAAGCGCAAGATTTACCAATCATTAATAAGAATCTTCCTTTAAAATTAGCCAAGTTATTTACGATAGTATTAGAAAATCCGTCATTTACAAAAGCGCATCAAGTGTATGCTCTATCAGATAAGCCATACTCGTTATGTGACGTTGTAAATCTACTAGATATAATAAAGGAATCTACACCACCACCTATAAATCCCGTAGTCACAAAAATTATTCGTATATATAACGACAAGGTTAAAAAAGACAAAGCTTTCCTTAAGAAGTATAAAATAATTGCCAACGATTACAAAGAAAAATATTTAATCTTTAGTACAGAGAATCCCAACGATATAGACCTAAATCATAATATAGACCTAAATGCAGATTTGTTACACGATTATCGAGCGGTATTACCCCGTTATTGGGTACAACACGTTTACCAGAATAATGACTATAAAGCGTATTACAATACATGGTTAACTATGGAAATTTTAACATATTTCAAAGAATACGATATTGAAGCCATTGTCAAACGATTAGTACCAAATCACGATATTGCAAATACTTTGAAATCCTTAAAAAACGAAACGGAAATAAGTGATATAGAATTATATCACAGAGCACAACATTCCGCGCTACGTTCTTTTAATTTATTTCTGGATAACGAACATGCATATGGAGTAGACGTAATGAAGGAAATCTTCGCGATTATTCCTACGTTTTCAAAATCGGAAATACTTCAACTGCGTAACGTCATCCACGATCATTCCGTTTATCCACCGATATTGGGTCTATTTCTTGAAATCGTGGCGTATTATGCTGCCGAAAACGATGTGTATTCAACTATGCGTATGTTACGGCCTATAGAATGCCAATTAGATGTCTTATTATTAGATTCGATATTGAATTTATTTATATATATTAAGTTAGCAGATCGCGAAAAAATCCTTCCAATGAAACGAATCCGTGCCATTAATAAAAATATACACGAAGCAGTCTCCACTGTTTTTCGTTTAAAAGATACTACCAAGTTAGAATATAAAGTAGAAGACGAAGATGCGATTACAGACACTCAAGAAACGACTACAATAATTCCGTCACCAACACACCAATTATATACATTTGTAGGTGCTCCACTTGTTTTGTGGTCGCTCATTGCAACCGGTGTAGTCATATATAATAGAAATAAAAAACCAAGACTGGGTGAATAAAACCATCTCTGCGCCATCTTTCGAGCCATTCATGAACTAAACCTCGAAGTGGCTACATATCCACAAAGGAGGGACAGACCCATGCCTTAAGGAGCTTCGCCCCTAAAAAATAATAAAAACGAGATTTTTGCAATGTCACAATTTATTCTATTTTTATGTGTGTTCTAGAGACTAACCAAAAGAATAAACAATGCCCGAAGTATCGATTTTCGAAGAACATTTCGGTGACCAGTACAATAATATGATTAACAAAGTGGACAGGTTTAAGAGGACACGTTTTTCCGTTTGGTTTAATTATATTAAAGGTAAACCACTCTCTGAACATCCCAAAATACTTCAATATGCTTGGTTAATTAGTGAATTCATGCAAACGAAACCTACGTCTTATGAATTCATGACTTGGCATAGAAACACAGTAACCCCTCAGTACTATCCGGCCGTAGGTAAATATTTAAATACGTTTTATACATATAAGAATAATACAACGTCGGCGCAAGAAGAAGAGTATAAAGTGGTTTTGGAAACGCAGGCGACAATGGCTTTAAATAGTATAAATGCTTTCTCTGGAACACAAATTAAGGACCTCAATGACATGCATAGTAAAATCAAGTCATTGTCTACTAATTTTATAAATCAACTGCGTTTACGTGCATGGCGTGTGACAAATAAATTAGTATGGCATTTGGTTGAATTAATCGTGTCCTACGATGTTCACACAAAACCGTATATAGCTTTTATCGACTACCTGAAAAAAATTAAAACGAAATTAATTATAAATAAATTTCGTGTATTAGAAACTATATATACAATTATTAAAAGTGTAGAAAAAGATAATGTACTGGGATATACAATTTTAGATACCGTGTATAGATCTTACACTGACGATTTAGAAAAACTCACGAAAAAACTAGACTTTAAAGTCTCCGATCAACTATTAAAATTTAATGTTACAGAAGACAAGTCACTTGTACAAGATGTCGTGGGGGATAAAAATGGAAAATATGAAGAAGACGATACGATATCTGATATAGATGAAGACTTAACAACTACAAAATTTCAGAATGGTAAAAAGAGACCCATTCCGAATAATGCTAAGATCGATCGTGAAGAAGTTGAACCTCCTTTAAAAAAGTTCATACTCGATAAAAAAAATTACTTGATTAGTGGATCGATTGTAACAGTTTATACCGTTTTAGTATTGACTACATTGGCTAGCATATTTTAAAGATAATAGATAGCCTCCAAGTACTTGTCGATCACTTCGTCATCGCCTTGTTGAACAACCTTAGATAATAGATTAGCACATTTTTTTAAGTGGGTGGCTTCTGCATCATCCTCAGTCATCCATTTAGAAAATTCGATAGCGTTATTGGTAGCCTTTAAGGCTATTTTTAGCAACGTATTATTACTATTTGTAACACGTTTTGACAGAATAAATAACAAGTGATCGACACTACCTTGTCTAGCATTTTTTGCGCGATCTTCTACTGTGGTTGGTGGGATATAATTCATCGATCCATAATTCAGAATAGATACGCATTTCTTGTTGTTTTGCAAAGCATCTTGTACACTACTCGCAGTACCTAAATGAACACGTACATACTTTTCTAAGAAACTGTGACATGTCTTCAAGGCGTTGTTTAAAGATTCGTCACCATCGGATGCCTTGACACAATGATGTAACATGGTGTACGTAGAATAAATAGACATTATTGTCGTCGTGTATAGTTTTTAAACAATGTTATAATTGTAATATAGATATATATTAGTTCTTTTTTTTATTTTTTATAACACTTTAAATATGCATCCAATAATTTCTAACGTGTTTTGCACTACGAGATTAGTTCTATTGGGATTCTTTTTACGAAGACGCTTACCATTTGTTTTAGGAATACGCTTACCTTTACCAAAAACTTTGCGCACGCGCTCCCACATGCCATTTGTGGAATTCTTCGTACCTTCTTGTAATGAAATATCGGATACGATTTCTGCTGAAGTCAACATTTTTTATTATATAAACAACTCAATCATCTACAGCATCAGAATCGCTATCTTCCATTGTCGACGATGAGTTAGTCTGATCCTCTGGTACGTTTATAACAGCGTCTACGGTTGGTTGTTCTGGTGATTCAGGTAAGATGGTTGGTGGTTCTGGATCTTCGAGTACTTGTAATTGCGATTCCGGAGATTCCGGAACGATGGGTGGCGATTCCGGAGATTCCGGAAGGATGGGTGGCGATTCCGGAGATTCCGGAATGATGGGTGGCGATTCCGGAGATTCCGGAACGATGGGTGGCGATTCCGGAGATTCCGGCATTGATGGTGGCGTTCCTGGGGACTGTGACACCGAAGGCGGTGATTCCGGAGATTCCATAAGAAAGATTTCTCCCGTCTTATTATTCTTTTTCAATATGGGCACCCGTCTAGATTGGATTGGCGTTTTACGCCTCTTTGATCGCCGCATTTTTCGAGCCAGCTTCACGGGAGTCGCGGAAGGTGGAGCCGTGCGTTCTGGTCTGTAATAAACATTACAAAAAATGACACAGTTTAGAGAAGTTCTAAACCGTTACAATTCATTACATGCAGGACAGAAAAAGGTTCTCTTACGGGAGGTTTCTCGGAAATTATACGAAAACACTGGGGATGCAATTTTAAATCGAAAATATTTTATATTTATGGGACTACATTATTGTGAACGTGCAGGTATTCCATTAGCCGATATACTATCAGATTCATTATTGGTTAATGCAGAAACGTTACGAACAGCATTACTTGACAGCATAGAGGAATCCAAGGTAATTTATGAAAATATTAGACCATCGTCTGGTAGCGTAATTATATCTGGTGTAGCGGCTGGTTTAGGTGTAATGGGGTTATCATCTGGAACGGCGTATTTAATTCAAAACAGGAAAGACCTTTTAAATATATATCGCAATGGAATGGCTAATTTAAATACTAAAACAAACACGCAATGAAATTTTTTTCTCACGTTTTGTTTCCCTCCATTTTCGATAACTCTATAAGAAGCCAAAAAAAAGTGTGGACGTCAGTTTTACTTACTAAAAAACAATGGCACAAACTAGAATGGCATCTCCAACAGCACCGTCGGCGCCGGTGAATCATTCTTGGGGCGAAAGGTTTTCACACGCTTATCACCTACCACAAGCATTCATGACGGACAGCCCAAATCCAACTGAACATGTTATGGACGTAATTTTACGTGGATCGTTCACTGTTAATTACTGGGGGGCGTATTCCAATGATATTTACATCAACGATCCAGTAAGTCATAGACCAATCATACCTGACAAAAGAAAACTATATCCGTTATTTAATGCATCGGGAGACCCCCACGATGTACACACCATACCATTTTTTAGACTCTTGTACGCAGCCCCGCATATATTGCATATACCTGGTCAAAGAAAGATTAATACCGAAGATGACTGCATTAATGCACGAACTGCACCTTGGAAAATAACGTTGCGTCTAGACAATATCGACGGCATGGTTTACTTTCAAATTCTAAATAGATCTGAAATAGATGCGTGGAAACCGGCTCATTCCGTACCATTCGATCAAGTTCTTCTAAGAATGCTGTTTACAACAGATATGGAAAATCATTTAGGAGATGTGCCATACGATTGGGCTCGTGATTACAGAATAGCTCACGACACCGCGTTACAAGTTATTCCCAACCACGATGAAATATATCTAGTAAGTAGAATCATTTTAGACTCACACCTTTTTGCGACGTCCAAGATATTCGCCAAAACCTTGAATCCCTTCACACACAGTTCGTCCAGAATTCTTGACAGCTCGGCTGGTCTGATGATGTTGGCCGAACGAGAGGGGATACACCACCTTCCAAGTTTGCTGGCACGACTAGATAGGCAGTATCCCGTCTCCGTTTTATATGGGACGGTAGTAAATATCGCCTATTGCACACTTAAACACGTCATATATAAACACGTCCGGGAAGAGACACACCTTCATCTTCACGACGTACCACAAGACGAACTCCCTCTCCTAGACTTTGTTGCGCTGAGATACGTGTGCAAAACATATCTACATTTGCGTTGGGGGATAGAAACGACTTCAACGTTACCACGGCTTTTGTCTGGAAAAGCTGGTGAAGAGATTGCGGAACCTCTCCCCGATAAATTACCAACAATAGTTGAACAACTTTTTCCACATGCACTTTGTTTTTTCGTTTCATCTGGAGACAGAGATTCTATCCATTACGAATATACACGATCGGCTCTGTTTCAATACATGTACCATTTCATGGTTACCGACCCAATGCCCACTCCAAATATTCGTGCATTAATCACAAAGCGAGTTGTTGAGTTATGGCTGGAGTACATGGCCCCATATATACTACGACGTTTTGTCATTACGTATTTTTTACACAACAGTAACGATACAATTGAAACGCAAACGGCCGATGATAAACATTACATTAATATATTAAACGGTTCGAATAAAGTAAACGAATTGCATATATTATTTAAAGCTATGGATAAATCTTTACAATATGCATCCGATATAGACAATAAAGTCAATTTGTCCGATTATCAGGGGAATAGTGACACCATTATTGGTATGTTAAAAAGAATAGGTGCCAACGGTTCTGGAGTAGTAGATTTGGTCTTGAGTGATCATATGCAATTTCCATTATACACTCATAATATGACGAACAAATATGTGGATGCCAGACTACCTTATGAAAAGAGTGGTGTACCTACGTTAGTTTCTAGCGTGTGGAAACCATTGGTGTCATTTGTGACTGGCATTATGCCAGCGCATGCATTAATAAATAATCCACCATCGGTTATAATTCCACGACAAATTAACATTCCAAATAAAATATTAATTTATGTAGCCCATGCATGTGCTACTGATGCAACGTGCCACATGGAAGGTTTAGCTAATACGCCTACAACAGAACGCACACAAACTACTCAGTGTCCAGAAAAGGGTGTTTATTTCGCAATCGGAATTGGGGCATTAACAGGCGTTTTGGTAGCGACTGGAATGTCTCATACGATAAAACCAACACATGCTTTTTAAAAAAAACAATGCTCTCAAACTTTATTATATTTTTTACGATAAATATCTAAAATTTCGGCAGCAGTCATTTTATCTACACTTTTAGTTTGAAGAGGAGTGTGACGTTTCGATTTAACGTGCGTATGTTTACGTTTCTTGTACATCACTTCATTTTTATTTCTGTTGTTCAGAATCGGTGCTTGTGAAGAAGAGGACGATGCTTGTGTTGCTGGTGGTGATGATGGTGGTGGTGATGGTGGTGGTGACGACGAGACGATGCGCTCAAGTTTGAAGATATCGCCAGACACGTTCTGTTTCAATAAAGCCTTGAAATCTTTATCGATGATGGATTCGTTCACCAATGACTTGTTCGAAAGATATACGACTGTATTCACTAAATCGTTTATAGTCTTGTTTTTAATAGATCTTGAAATTTTATATAACACGTTTACAGCTTTGTCGTTGACAAATTTTATACCGTATTTTTGGGTCAAAATTTCCGTAACTTGCGAATAAAAAACAGTGCACATTGCATTCGATTTGTGCGAACAAAAAAAAATGGCCAACGATTCGTTTTATAATCTTCTAGAATATACGAAAAGTGTCGTTTCGTCCTGGTGGAATTATAATGTATTGTCTGGAATCAATCGCTATTTATTGAAATTGCCAAGCACCGAATCGGAGATTACGCAAGGTTTTGTCCATATGACAGATTTAGTTATAAATTCTCAAGATATAACCTTAAAACATATACTAACAAATCTATTGCCTACTTTTTATGGAACGTTATCTCCGTGTTACACGTTATCCTTCACAGACAAGATACATGTATTCAGTGTATTATTTTACGATATGCAGGCCGCTTTCATTTCTGTAATACAATACATGTGCACAACGACTCCAGCAAGATGTATATCGAGCACGGATAAATCTGGTTTCTTACAGAATTTATTAACGTCTTGGACAATGTTGTTACTAGACATATACGATGATAATTTAGATGATAGAGAGCAAATTAACAATAGAGATAGACTAGATGAATTGCATATAAAGACATTATTTCTCTACTCGATGGCACGTAGTATTCGCAGCGATTTGTCTACTGCAGTTCATTTTCTACGTAAATATATGAAACGTATGAAACAGAGAGTTGTACCTAGAGAATTATTAATCACAACAAGTAGTGGAGATATTGATGCTTACGATTTATATAGCAATATGTGTAGTAAAATCCAGTATTATAGGGAATGTAAGATCGTTTACAATTATTTGAACACACGACACATGCACTTGAAAAATATCGAGCGATGGTTTAACGAACATCGTCTTCCACAAGCTTACAAACATTTAAACGAAGCACGTTTAAGTATTATGGATGCAAACCGTATAGGGAATTTGGGAGAATTAATACATCTCACGAAGAGTATCAGTGTTTTCGATATAAACGATATATGTTTAGATTATGCACATGCGTCTAAAGAATGTGTAGAAATTCTAAAAGAATTAGAAATCAGGTTTCAGATTATCGTAAAATCATACGTGACCTTCCTAACTTCCACAGATGTTATTACCGATACAACCACGTTTCGCAAAATGTATTACAATATCGTTAAAGATAACGATGATAGAACGTACGGAAAGAAGAATGGCACAAATCATACTTATCGGTTAACAAGTTTAAGAATTAATGGTGCACTTAATCCTTACGAAAATATTACTCAGGTTCTCGAGTTATTAAAGCAAGCTATGATAAGAGTGTCTATCCGACAACTCAAAAGTAAATATGAGTATTTTTCTCAAAAGGGCGGTTGTTTATGTAAGATCCATTGTATGACGTATAACACACAAACATTCGCGGTTTTTAAACCAAATAAATTTGCACTCTGTCAGGCGCACGCAGCTTATGTAGATTTACATAATGCTATAAATTGTAAAAATCATTCTTGTGATTGTGTTACATTTATGAAAAAAGAAACACAATACGTCAAATACCTTAAAGAAACAATGTTATATTTTATGGGACCATTATCATCTATCGAGTATGCGATATCATCACCCTATCAAGAAATTGCTACACATTTTTAATCCCCACCACATCAACATCACGGTGACAGTGGTTCGTATACACTCATCGGTGATCTTGGATTATATTCGTCGTCGTCGTCCTCCATGACATTTTGGTCGTTGACTTGTGTCGCGATATTTGTATCGTTTTTCATAGATTCGTTAGAATATACTTGCATTGAAGATTGTAAAACCCCAACATGTGTAATATCTAAACCAAATGCAAAATTTACCGATGTCCATCCACGTTTCCGTTCTTCAGCTATAGCAGATTTTATTAAAAGTTTTTTCGGATTTTCAAAACATGCTGCAGATAATCTGTCTCTTTTTTTCCCAATGTAAGATCGATTAAGTGCTACAATTTTAGATGGTTCTCGTGTTAACATGTTAATGTATAATCTAATGTATGAACACAAAACATTATCGATGTTATTAGAAACGCTCAAAATACCCTTAAATGTTTTATATAAATACGAATAAATTCTAGTATTATCAGAACATAGGGCTAATAGTGATAGTACGTGGTCTAAAGGTTCGATACAATCACGATGGCTTAAAACCCATTGCGTAAAAAATGGACAAGCATTATTCGTAAAATATTCTTGAGGTGCAGCAAAAACTAATGTGTCATCGTCACACAACAGAGCAAAATCAGCTAACCGTTTAGTTATTAAAATTGGAAGAAAAGAAGGATCGTTTATTAACTTAAAGTAAATTAATGTAGAATCACTGTTACGTACTCTCTTTCCATTGAATAAAGCGTACACTATCGATCTGGTACTGTCTAAAAATTCCACTTGTAATCTAGGACGAGACGATGCAATTTGACGAAGAGTTGCAAAAGCGTTGTGCGTGTTACCCACGTCGTATAATTTTATGTTAGTATTCATCGATCGAATTAAATCGTTACAAGCCTTTTCTCTATTATGAGATGAATCTAAATAATCTTGCGTCAAAGGCGAAGTAATGTTTTGGGCAATTACGTCACCCAAACCTATCCCCGGTTGTGCAAATGAAAAAAGCATAGTAGAAAACATGTGTGTATACATACTAACACTACACACTTCATCTACGTATTTAGTAAAAGACGGAGGTGCTTTCAAATTTTTGTCACAATAAGATATCAGGACGAGCGTGTGGTGTATAACCATTCTCAACATTTTGCGTGTGTAATATCTCAACGTTACGATTTCCGATAATACAGGATATTCTTGGTTCCTGTTTACGAGATTGGAGTGAACTAATGGATCGTATTTACTTTGTGTACCAACGTCAAAGGTCACGGAATTGTCCTCCGTTTGCATTTTGCTATAAAACATCATAATCTCACGCGCTGACGGTAAGGGACTAGTCACGTCTGGTTCTAAAGTGAGTGTATAGGCATTACGAATGTTTTCAAAAACTAATTGTACTCTATACATATTGACTATATTATATACATAATTAAAAAGATGTCTAAAGTACGACGAGTTTTAAAGAAACAGAGCGATGAAGAATTATTATGGATTAAATATGCAGCTATAGGTGTTGCAACTGGTGTTTCTTTAGGCGTTTTATACACTCATTATAAAAACAGATCAAGATTAATTGAAACCTGTCAAAGCTACTATAAGGCTATAGAAACACACCCATCTACAAACAAATCCGCAATTATTAGTAAAGACGAATTAAACTCAAAACTAAGCACATTATCATACGTTAACTTAAGATTATTAGCTAGTGACCCAACGTTACTATATCGCCTAATATATAGAATAAAAAATGTGGTCTAAATATTGCGATCTTAATCATTCGGTTTGTAACATAAATAGCGATGGTTACGTGTACAAACACGGTCGACTTATAGGGTACCCCAGTTGGTTTATCATCGAAGAATACGATAAACGCCACATAGAGTGTAGGGTCATCGAAGTCGGTCTGGATGCCAATGCCAAAGAAGAATGTACTCGTAGAACTTTGGTACCGGACATCATTTTATCACCTTACATCGATCGTTGGGAGACTAAACCACCCACCATTACCATCGATGGAGAATTTGTTTCGACGGTTTATACTGCACTCAAAGATTTAATGGAAAGTGGTGTAGGTACCAAAGATGCAATCGATCACAGTTTGGGAAGTATGATACCAGATGGCGATGTCATTTTAGATTTCCATTGTGTAGATTTGGCCTTTGCACTTTCGACGTCGTCTTTTCTAATGGATTTTTTCTTACATATTCTAGTACGCACATTTAGGAACACAGTTGTCCACATTAAATTAACTATGGATAATAACGAATACGAAAACAGAACCGTAGCACACGGATCGAACGTGTTGTATTTTTTTATGGAAAATCTAGTCTACTATTTACTCACCAAAAATTCGTCGAGAAACAGTGGTTTTGCCTCTCTCGAAATAGTAGATCAGTGCAAGGATCGCGGTTATTTCAGCGTTATAGACAATCAAGATCAAAGTCGAGACGTATTGGATCCAGACTTCGTAAGAAAAGCCGTCGTTGAAGCTTTTAAATTGTCCTCGTGGATTGGCGATGGATCTATTGACGTTGGTACACTATGCATACACGTTGGACATCTCAAAACCCCACCATCAATACACTTATGTAACGTAAATGCTCCAGTATCGTATGTAAAATATAATTCGGACAAACCAAAGGAGGCATATTTCGGAAACGTTGCAACCTTCGTTTTGAATCCTCCAGATGACGAAATATTTAACTGGGCTTTGATTAAATGCACGATTGCACACGTGAAGGGACTACATTTTCCAATAACGAAATTGGCATCGAGTCACGCTATTCCAAGTGAATTACATACTATATACGACGAAACAACTCTTAATAATAGTATTAGAGTCCTAGACTTGGGCTACTTCAATATTCCGATGTTTGTTTATGACGAAGAATCCATGAAAAAATTAAATGCAGTAGAATACTTACGTTGTGGAACTATTGGAGACGATCGCTGGTTTAATGCTCTGCATAAGACAATGTCCCCAGTGGCTTTCGAATGGAACAGTATGATTCGCGTTTTAAACGATCGTTGTGTTAAACCCGTTTCTTTAATTAATTTAGTGTCCGATCATGCAACCCATGTGGGCGTAACACACCCGGATGATTTATATTGGTTAACACCAGAGTTGGATGCAAATTCTTGGACGTCGGCATCGTTCGTCGATATACCACCATACAGTGTGTGTAGATGTATTCCAGACGATACCCCCGCAGACCAAATAATACCCAATATAAACCTTAAACAGAAACAAAGGTGGCCGTTTATAAATTTATTTAGGGTAAAGATATCTGTAGTAAATGGAGGCCCCTTGCATGGGTATCTATCAAATAGTATATTGAGGTTGAGAGAAGAACCACTATTACCACACGTACAAAAATTACACATTCGATGTCCGATCGATATGTTCATTACATTATGTAATAATCATTTAAATAAAGCCGAACGATTAGAAGATTTAACTGTTTATTGCGAATCCAGATATTGTGACGATAGTTATATTAAAGAAATAAATAAACTTTGTCAAACTGCACATAGATTAAAATCGCTATCTCTTTATACGAATCCGGGAACTACCGTAGAGTATATATTAAATCATATATCAAGCAAAAGTTTACAATCTTTATACTTAAATACAAACGACGTTAACGTTCCAGGTATAAGCACACCGATAATAACGGACGAGTTTGACAATCCAAAGGATGTCGCTGTACAAACATTAAGACGAGCGTTTCCAGAAATTAAATATTGTCTATGTTATTCCAACTCAAATTATAACATAGCTACGACACCTCAAAACATTCAACAAACTCCACATTATAACCCCCCACCAGTCATTCCCATTCGATCCATTCGAAAACCAGAAGAATCTATAGTATATCAAAAACCATCCACAAGTTTGAAACGACCCCATACACCACCACTCCCCCCTCTTTATGGTGGTGTTTTTGGCAATACAGTATCACCCGAAACTGTACAAGATTATACATTTGAGCGTATTCAAGAAGATCAAAATAATGACGAATTTACTCAAGAGAATAATGAAGTTCTAAATTTGTGTACACAAGATGATGATACATGCAACTATGCAGAGAAGCGAAAATGTAACGATTCCGATAATGTAGTTATATCTAACGCAACAACGTTGGATAATGACGAAGATTTTAAACAAACAGAATCACCAGAAAATCATACAGGGGTTTTTAATAACAATAATAAAAATAATAACGACGACGAATTTTTCAAAAAGCCGCAACAACCTCCAAAGTTTTCGACCACAAATATAGAAACATCCGATACAGATGATAACGAATATTTTAAACAACCGTATCCACCGTCCAATGTACCACAGAAAAATAACATAACCACAGTTGCTACAGATCATAATGATTCTTTAAAACAATCGTATTCATCGCCCACCATGCCAATCAAAAATAACGTAGAAACTTCCGATACCGATATTTCAGAATCGGAATGTTCCTTGAGATATATAGGTATGACACCAGACACAAGTTTAGTGGAAAATGATACGTTTTCGGATACTTCAGTTGATATAAAGAAATTTGGGAACATTACAAAACAAGAAGTTGCATCTATGAGGCCTGTTTTAAAAGCTGGATTTACACCTAATCCATATTTAACAGGTGAAAAGGTACAAGAAGAATTTGACGATATTTATTCTTGATGATTAAACTGTCCATTTTTTTGTGCTCGTTTTAATGTAAATTGACAACCATTGTTGCTTTGATCATGTTTCATTATTTCAAAAGCTAATATTTTTTCAAACTCCATATTAACCAAACCTTTCAATATATCAGGAAATGGGTGTGTGCATTGAAAACAAAATATTTGTGGTTCCGTATTACATATTGTATCAGGTGATACACAGATACCATTACTTGCTAATAGACTTGCATGGTCGTTATTAAATATCAGTTGAGATATTTGGTATGCTAGTTGTTGGTCGAACATTTTTATAGTAAAACATTATATGGGATGGGGACAAAAAACACAGTTAGTACACTTGAGCTAAGCTAGTCCAACCTCCTCCACTCCATCCAACATCCAATTATTTTATTGTTTTTTTCAATAATTTACGTTTATTCCCTAACACCTAGGCGCATTTCTATAATCGTGGCGGACTGCGTCCGGGGAAAGTGTGAAGAAGCTACAAAAAAAAATGTACAAAAAAAAAAATCCTACCTAAACCAGAAGCTATAAATTCCTAGCAAAAATTACAAAAAAAAAAAAAAGAAAAAAGTGTTATACGACACGACGATCCCCAGACAATCAGTACACGGGCCACTTACCTAACAAAAAGTATTAATAGAAATTACCTGCCTCACGCGCGCGTAAGCTAAGGAAAATTCGCGTACAATAGGGGGGGGAGAATAAGCCCTGACAGATTAAAAAGAAGGCCACCTCCTCCACTCCGACCGACCACGTCGACAAAAGCTAAAGGCTCTAGCTAAAATGCTATTGCGGATTCCCTAACAGCGGAACGCGTTTTGGAAAAAAAGATAAAGTTCCATAACAGTTCGGACTTGCAACCAACCAGAAACCAGACAAAACAACCACCATCGACGATAGCACAGGTTGAATTTTGAATAATAATTATTTACGTTAAATCCAATAGTCGAAAATGATGGTGTTCTCCAGTGGATTGCATTCCTCCTAACCTTAAAATTTTTCCGAAAGAGTATTTAAAAGAGAGAGAGAAGCAAGAAGATAAGGGATAAAAAAGACGCGGATAGCCTACGCGCATCGGCGAAACCCTAGCGTCCGTATGTCTCTCAACGCGAAGTCCCTAGCAATCGATAGCATGCATTTAACAAAGAGCTTGGATCATTGGCTTCCAAGAGTGGCGGGGAACTGATGCTAGTCTAAACTTTGTGACAAGCCCGAAGGACAGTGAATTGTAGGATGTATAATCAAGTCATCCGAGCCTCCTTGTAAACAGGTGGATGGCAACAAGAAAATATTTAGTCTTCCTTCGACTAAACGTTTTCTTTTCGCTCACTCAGAAAGACGATATACACCGAACGTCTTCAAGCCTTTGGCCCGTGGGGATCGCATACAAAAGGTGAGTTAATCTAGGGCTTTCGTTTTGATTTCACGTTCAGCCACTGCCTAACAAATTTTTTTTTTTTTTAAATCAAAGGCGCCAACCCCCTAGCCTTACAGATTTAAAATGCGATCAGGGTTGCCAAAAGGATTTAACGTCTCCATGCCCTATTCTACCCATAGCTGACCACGATTTTTTTTTTTTTTACATTTGGTGTGTGTGTGTGTCTGTGTGTGTGTTTTCAAGATAGCCTAACAAATTTTGATCATTTTTATGCATGTGTGTAATTTTTTTTTTGTTAAGTACGTGGTACCAAGTTAACGTCCCACAACAAATAAAAAACCAATCATTCCAACCCATACACCTAAAATTGGTTGGCATTTTTTTCCTAACAGTTTTTCTTGTTTATTTGTGTTTCCTTTTTTTGTCCAGAATATAGTTCCCGGAGACATCCTGGCACTCCCCTACAGTGTCACCTTCCCGCCAAACGGTTGCCCTAACAAAATCGAAAAGCTAGAGAGACAAACGGTCTTAAAACCAAACATCTAAATATATACACGCGAAGAAACAACAACAACAACAACCGCGTCCCTGCCTAGCCGCAAGAAGCTATGGAAACAGTAGGCACCTAATCTCGAGGCGGCCGCGACATCCTGTATGGGACAAAAAACACAGTTAGTACACTTGAGCTAAGCTAGTCCAACCTCCTCCACTCCATCCAACATCCAATTATTTTATTTTTTTTTTCAATAATTTACGTTTAATTCCCTAACACCTAGGCGCATTTCTATAATCGTGGCGGACTGCGTCCGGGGAAAGTGTGAAGAAGCTACAAAAAAAAATGTACAAAAAAAAAAAAAATCCTACCTAAACCAGAAGCTATAAATTCCTAGCAAAAATTACAAAAAAAAAAGAAAAAAGTGTTATACGACACGACGATCCCCAGACAATCAGTACACGGGCCACTTACCTAACAAAAGTATTAATAGAAATTACCTGCCTCACGCGCGCGTAAGCTAAGGAAAATTCGCGTACAATAGGGGGGGGAGAATAAGCCCTGACAGATTAAAAAGAAGGCCACCTCCTCCACTCCGACCGACCACGTCGACAAAAGCTAAAGGCTCTAGCTAAAATGCTATTGCGGATTCCCTAACAGCGGAACGCGTTTTGGAAAAAAAGATAAAGTTCCATAACAGTTCGGACTTGCAACCAACCAGAAACCAGACAAAACAACCACCATCGACGATAGCACAGGTTGAATTTTGAAAAATAATTATTTACGTTAAATCCAATAGTCGAAAATGATGGTGTTCTCCAGTGGATTGCATTCCTCCTAACCTTAAAAAAAATAAAATTTTTCCGAAAGATTATTTAAAAGAGAGAGAGAGAGAAGCAAGAAGATAAGGGATAAAAAAGACGCGGATAGCCTACGCGCATCGGCGAAACCCTAGCGTCCGTATGTCTCTCAACGCGAAGTCCCTAGCAATCGATAGCATGCATTTAACAAAGAGCTTGGATCATTGGCTTCCAAGAGTGGCGGGGAACTGATGCTAGTCTAAACTTTGTGACAAGCCCGAAGGACAGTGAATTGTAGGATGTATAATCAAGTCATCCGAGCCTCCTTGTAAACAGGTGGATGGCAACAAGAAAATATTTAGTCTTCCTTCGACTAAACGTTTTCTTTTCGCTCACTCAGAAAGACGATATACACCGAACGTCTTCAAGCCTTTGGCCCGTGGGGATCGCATACAAAAGGTGAGTTAATCTAGGGCTTTCGTTTTGATTTCACGTTCAGCCACTGCCTAACAAATTTTTTTTTTTTTAAATCAAAGGCGCCAACCCCCTAGCCTTACAGATTTAAAATGCGATCAGGGTTGCCAAAAGGATTTAACGTCTCCATGCCCTATTCTACCCATAGCTGACCACGGTTTTTTTTTTTTTTTTACATTTGGTGTGTGTGTGTGTCTGTGTGTGTGTTTTCAAGATAGCCTAACAAATTTTGATCATTTTTATGCATGTGTGTAATTTTTTTTTGTTAAGTACGTGGTACCAAGTTAACGTCCCACAACAAATAAAAAACCAATCATTCCAACCCATACACCTAAAATTGGTTGGCATTTTTTTCCTAACAGTTTTTCTTGTTTATTTGTGTTTCCTTTTTTTGTCCAGAATATAGTTCCCGGAGACATCCTGGCACTCCCCTACAGTGTCACCTTCCCGCCAAACGGTTGCCCTAACAAAATCGAAAAGCTAGAGAGACAAACGGTCTTAAAACCAAACATCTAAATATATACACGCGAAGAAACAACAACAACAACCGCGTCCCTGCCTAGCCGCAAGAAGCTATGGAAACTGTAGGCACCTAATCTCGAGGCGGCCGCGACATCCTGTATGGGACAAAAAACACAGTTAGTACACTTGAGCTAAGCTAGTCCAACCTCCTCCACTCCATCCAACATCCAATTATTTTATTTTTTTTTTCAATAATTTACGTTTATTCCCTAACACCTAGGCGCATTTCTATAATCGTGGCGGACTGCGTCCGGGGAAAGTGTGAAGAAGCTACAAAAAAAAAAAATGTACAAAAAAAAAAATCCTACCTAAACCAGAAGCTATAAATTCCTAGCAAAAATTACAAAAAAAAAGAAAAAAGTGTTATACGACACGACGATCCCCAGACAATCAGTACACGGGCCACTTACCTAACAAAAAGTATTAATAGAAATTACCTGCCTCACGCGCGCGTAAGCTAAGGAAAATTCGCGTACAATAGGGGGGGGAGAATAAGCCCTGACAGATTAAAAAGAAGGCCACCTCCTCCACTCCGACCGACCACGTCGACAAAAGCTAAAGGCTCTAGCTAAAATGCTATTGCGGATTCCCTAACAGCGGAACGCGTTTTGGAAAAAAAGATAAAGTTCCATAACAGTTCGGACTTGCAACCAACCAGAAACCAGACAAAACAACCACCATCGACGATAGCACAGGTTGAATTTTGAATAATAATTATTTACGTTAAATCCAATAGTCGAAAATGATGGTGTTCTCCAGTGGATTGCATTCCTCCTAACCTTAAAATTTTTCCGAAAGAGTATTTAAAAGAGAGAGAGAAGCAAGAAGATAAGGGATAAAAAAGACGCGGATAGCCTACGCGCATCGGCGAAACCCTAGCGTCCGTATGTCTCTCAACGCGAAGTCCCTAGCAATCGATAGCATGCATTTAACAAAGAGCTTGGATCATTGGCTTCCAAGAGTGGCGGGGAACTGATGCTAGTCTAAACTTTGTGACAAGCCCGAAGGACAGTGAATTGTAGGATGTATAATCAAGTCATCCGAGCCTCCTTGTAAACAGGTGGATGGCAACAAGAAAATATTTAGTCTTCCTTCGACTAAACGTTTTCTTTTCGCTCACTCAGAAAGACGATATACACCGAACGTCTTCAAGCCTTTGGCCCGTGGGGATCGCATACAAAAGGTGAGTTAATCTAGGGCTTTCGTTTTGATTTCACGTTCAGCCACTGCCTAACAAATTTTTTTTTTTTTTAAATCAAAGGCGCCAACCCCCTAGCCTTACAGATTTAAAATGCGATCAGGGTTGCCAAAAGGATTTAACGTCTCCATGCCCTATTCTACCCATAGCTGACCACGATTTTTTTTTTTTTTACATTTGGTGTGTGTGTGTGTGTGTCTGTGTGTGTGTTTTCAAGATAGCCTAACAAATTTTGATCATTTTTATGCATGTGTGTAATTTTTTTTTGTTAAGTACGTGGTACCAAGTTAACGTCCCACAACAAATAAAAAACCAATCATTCCAACCCATACACCTAAAATTGGTTGGCATTTTTTTCCTAACAGTTTTTCTTGTTTATTTGTGTTTCCTTTTTTTGTCCAGAATATAGTTCCCGGAGACATCCTGGCACTCCCCTACAGTGTCACCTTCCCGCCAAACGGTTGCCCTAACAAAATCGAAAAGCTAGAGAGACAAACGGTCTTAAAACCAAACATCTAAATATATACACGCGAAGAAACAACAACAACAACAACCGCGTCCCTGCCTAGCCGCAAGAAGCTATGGAAACTGTAGGCACCTAATCTCGAGGCGGCCGCGACATCCTGTATGGGACAAAAAACACAGTTAGTACACTTGAGCTAAGCTAGTCCAACCTCCTCCACTCCATCCAACATCCAATTATTTTATTTTTTTTTTCAATAATTTACGTTTATTCCCTAACACCTAGGCGCATTTCTATAATCGTGGCGGACTGCGTCCGGGGAAAGTGTGAAGAAGCTACAAAAAAACAAATGTACAAAAAAAAAAATCCTACCTAAACCAGAAGCTATAAATTCCTAGCAAAAATTACAAAAAAAAAGAAAAAAGTGTTATACGACACGACGATCCCCAGACAATCAGTACACGGGCCACTTACCTAACAAAAAGTATTAATAGAAATTACCTGCCTCACGCGCGCGTAAGCTAAGGAAAATTCGCGTACAATAGGGGGGGGAGAATAAGCCCTGACAGATTAAAAAGAAGGCCACCTCCTCCACTCCGACCGACCACGTCGACAAAAGCTAAAGGCTCTAGCTAAAATGCTATTGCGGATTCCCTAACAGCGGAACGCGTTTTGGAAAAAAAGATAAAGTTCCATAACAGTTCGGACTTGCAACCAACCAGAAACCAGACAAAACAACCACCATCGACGATAGCACAGGTTGAATTTTGAATAATAATTATTTACGTTAAATCCAATAGTCGAAAATGATGGTGTTCTCCAGTGGATTGCATTCCTCCTAACCTTAAAATTTTTCCGAAAGAGTATTTAAAAGAGAGAGAGAAGCAAGAAGATAAGGGATAAAAAAGACGCGGATAGCCTACGCGCATCGGCGAAACCCTAGCGTCCGTATGTCTCTCAACGCGAAGTCCCTAGCAATCGATAGCATGCATTTAACAAAGAGCTTGGATCATTGGCTTCCAAGAGTGGCGGGGAACTGATGCTAGTCTAAACTTTGTGACAAGCCCGAAGGACAGTGAATTGTAGGATGTATAATCAAGTCATCCGAGCCTCCTTGTAAACAGGTGGATGGCAACAAGAAAATATTTAGTCTTCCTTCGACTAAACGTTTTCTTTTCGCTCACTCAGAAAGACGATATACACCGAACGTCTTCAAGCCTTTGGCCCGTGGGGATCGCATACAAAAGGTGAGTTAATCTAGGGCTTTCGTTTTGATTTCACGTTCAGCCACTGCCTAACAAATTTTTTTTTTTTTTTAAATCAAAGGCGCCAACCCCCTAGCCTTACAGATTTAAAATGCGATCAGGGTTGCCAAAAGGATTTAACGTCTCCATGCCCTATTCTACCCATAGCTGACCACGATTTTTTTTTTTTTTTACATTTGGTGTGTGTGTGTGTCTGTGTGTGTGTTTTCAAGATAGCCTAACAAATTTTGATCATTTTTATGCATGTGTGTAATTTTTTTTTTGTTAAGTACGTGGTACCAAGTTAACGTCCCACAACAAATAAAAAACCAATCATTCCAACCCATACACCTAAAATTGGTTGGCATTTTTTTCCTAACAGTTTTTCTTGTTTATTTGTGTTTCCTTTTTTTGTCCAGAATATAGTTCCCGGAGACATCCTGGCACTCCCCTACAGTGTCACCTTCCCGCCAAACGGTTGCCCTAACAAAATCGAAAAGCTAGAGAGACAAACGGTCTTAAAACCAAACATCTAAATATATACACGCGAAGAAACAACAACAACAACAACCGCGTCCCTGCCTAGCCGCAAGAAGCTATGGAAACTGTAGGCACCTAATCTCGAGGCGGCCGCGACATCCTGTATGGGACAAAAAACACAGTTAGTACACTTGAGCTAAGCTAGTCCAACCTCCTCCACTCCATCCAACATCCAATTATTTTATTTTTTTTTTTCAATAATTTACGTTTAATTCCCTAACACCTAGGCGCATTTCTATAATCGTGGCGGACTGCGTCCGGGGAAAGTGTGAAGAAGCTACAAAAAAAAATGTACAAAAAAAAAAAAATCCTACCTAAACCAGAAGCTATAAATTCCTAGCAAAAATTACAAAAAAAAAAGAAAAAAGTGTTATACGACACGACGATCCCCAGACAATCAGTACACGGGCCACTTACCTAACAAAAGTATTAAAAGAAATTACCTGCCTCACGCGCGCGTAAGCTAAGGAAAATTCGCGTACAATAGGGGGGGGGAGAATAAGCCCTGACAGATTAAAAAGAAGGCCACCTCCTCCACTCCGACCGACCACGTCGACAAAAGCTAAAGGCTCTAGCTAAAATGCTATTGCGGATTCCCTAACAGCGGAACGCGTTTTGGAAAAAAAGATAAAGTTCCATAACAGTTCGGACTTGCAACCAACCAGAAACCAGACAAAACAACCACCATCGACGATAGCACAGGTTGAATTTTGAATAATAATTATTTACGTTAAATCCAATAGTCGAAAATGATGGTGTTCTCCAGTGGATTGCATTCCTCCTAACCTTAAAATTTTTCCGAAAGAGTATTTAAAAGAGAGAGAGAGAGAAGCAAGAAGATAAGGGATAAAAAAGACGCGGATAGCCTACGCGCATCGGCGAAACCCTAGCGTCCGTATGTCTCTCAACGCGAAGTCCCTAGCAATCGATAGCATGCATTTAACAAAGAGCTTGGATCATTGGCTTCCAAGAGTGGCGGGGAACTGATGCTAGTCTAAACTTTGTGACAAGCCCGAAGGACAGTGAATTGTAGGATGTATAATCAAGTCATCCGAGCCTCCTTGTAAACAGGTGGATGGCAACAAGAAAATATTTAGTCTTCCTTCGACTAAACGTTTTCTTTTCGCTCACTCAGAAAGACGATATACACCGAACGTCTTCAAGCCTTTGGCCCGTGGGGATCGCATACAAAAGGTGAGTTAATCTAGGGCTTTCGTTTTGATTTCACGTTCAGCCACTGCCTAACAAATTTTTTTTTTTTTTTAAATCAAAGGCGCCAACCCCCTAGCCTTACAGATTTAAAATGCGATCAGGGTTGCCAAAAGGATTTAACGTCTCCATGCCCTATTCTACCCATAGCTGACCACGATTTTTTTTTTTTTTACATTTGGTGTGTGTGTGTGTCTGTGTGTGTGTTTTCAAGATAGCCTAACAAATTTTGATCATTTTTATGCATGTGTGTAATTTTTTTTTGTTAAGTACGTGGTACCAAGTTAACGTCCCACAACAAATAAAAAACCAATCATTCCAACCCATACACCTAAAATTGGTTGCATTTTTTTCCTAACAGTTTTTCTTGTTTATTTGTGTTTCCTTTTTTTGTCCAGAATATAGTTCCCGGAGACATCCTGGCACTCCCCTACAGTGTCACCTTCCCGCCAAACGGTTGCCCTAACAAAATCGAAAAGCTAGAGAGACAAACGGTCTTAAAACCAAACATCTAAATATATACACGCGAAGAAACAACAACAACAACCGCGTCCCTGCCTAGCCGCAAGAAGCTATGGAAACTGTAGGCACCTAATCTCGAGGCGGCCGCGACATCCTGTATGGGACAAAAAACACAGTTAGTACACTTGAGCTAAGCTAGTCCAACCTCCTCCACTCCATCCAACATCCAATTATTTTATTTTTTTTTTCAATAATTTACGTTTATTCCCTAACACCTAGGCGCATTTCTATAATCGTGGCGGACTGCGTCCGGGGAAAGTGTGAAGAAGCTACAAAAAAAAAAATGTACAAAAAAAAAAATCCTACCTAAACCAGAAGCTATAAATTCCTAGCAAAAATTACAAAAAAAAAGAAAAAAGTGTTATACGACACGACGATCCCCAGACAATCAGTACACGGGCCACTTACCTAACAAAAAGTATTAATAGAAATTACCTGCCTCACGCGCGCGTAAGCTAAGGAAAATTCGCGTACAATAGGGGGGGGAGAATAAGCCCTGACAGATTAAAAAGAAGGCCACCTCCTCCACTCCGACCGACCACGTCGACAAAAGCTAAAGGCTCTAGCTAAAATGCTATTGCGGATTCCCTAACAGCGGAACGCGTTTTGGAAAAAAAGATAAAGTTCCATAACAGTTCGGACTTGCAACCAACCAGAAACCAGACAAAACAACCACCATCGACGATAGCACAAGTTGAATTTTGAATAATAATTATTTACGTTAAATCCAATAGTCGAAAATGATGGTGTTCTCCAGTGGATTGCATTCCTCCTAACCTTAAAATTTTTCCGAAAGAGTATTTAAAAGAGAGAGAGAAGCAAGAAGATAAGGGATAAAAAAGACGCGGATAGCCTACGCGCATCGGCGAAACCCTAGCGTCCGTATGTCTCTCAACGCGAAGTCCCTAGCAATCGATAGCATGCATTTAACAAAGAGCTTGGATCATTGGCTTCCAAGAGTGGCGGGGAACTGATGCTAGTCTAAACTTTGTGACAAGCCCGAAGGACAGTGAATTGTAGGATGTATAATCAAGTCATCCGAGCCTCCTTGTAAACAGGTGGATGGCAACAAGAAAATATTTAGTCTTCCTTCGACTAAACGTTTTCTTTTCGCTCACTCAGAAAGACGATATACACCGAACGTCTTCAAGCCTTTGGCCCGTGGGGATCGCATACAAAAGGTGAGTTAATCTAGGGCTTTCGTTTTGATTTCACGTTCAGCCACTGCCTAACAAATTTTTTTTTTTTTTTTTAAATCAAAGGCGCCAACCCCCTAGCCTTACAGATTTAAAATGCGATCAGGGTTGCCAAAAGGATTTAACGTCTCCATGCCCTATTCTACCCATAGCTGACCACGATTTTTTTTTTTTTTTACATTTGGTGTGTGTGTGTGTCTGTGTGTGTGTTTTCAAGATAGCCTAACAAATTTTGATCATTTTTATGCATGTGTGTAATTTTTTTTTGTTAAGTACGTGGTACCAAGTTAACGTCCCACAACAAATAAAAAACCAATCATTCCAACCCATACACCTAAAATTGGTTGGCATTTTTTTCCTAACAGTTTTTCTTGTTTATTTGTGTTTCCTTTTTTTGTCCAGAATATAGTTCCCGGAGACATCCTGGCACTCCCCTACAGTGTCACCTTCCCGCCAAACGGTTGCCCTAACAAAATCGAAAAGCTAGAGAGACAAACGGTCTTAAAACCAAACATCTAAATATATACACGCGAAGAAACAACAACAACAACCGCGTCCCTGCCTAGCCGCAAGAAGCTATGGAAACTGTAGGCACCTAATCTCGAGGCGGCCGCGACATCCTGTATGGGACAAAAAACACAGTTAGTACACTTGAGCTAAGCTAGTCCAACCTCCTCCCCTCCATCCAACATCCAATTATTTTATTTTTTTTTCAATAATTTACGTTTAATTCCCTAACACCTAGGCGCATTTCTATAATCGTGGCGGACTGCGTCCGGGGAAAGTGTGAAGAAGCTACAAAAAAAAATGTACAAAAAAAAAAAATCCTACCTAAACCAGAAGCTATAAATTCCTAGCAAAAATTACAAAAAAAAAAGAAAAAAGTGTTATACGACACGACGATCCCCAGACAATCAGTACACGGGCCACTTACCTAACAAAAGTATTAATAGAAATTACCTGCCTCACGCGCGCGTAAGCTAAGGAAAATTCGCGTACAATAGGGGGGGGGAGAATAAGCCCTGACAGATTAAAAAGAAGGCCACCTCCTCCACTCCGACCGACCACGTCGACAAAAGCTAAAGGCTCTAGCTAAAATGCTATTGCGGATTCCCTAACAGCGGAACGCGTTTTGGAAAAAAAGATAAAGTTCCATAACAGTTCGGACTTGCAACCAACCAGAAACCAGACAAAACAACCACCATCGACGATAGCACAGGTTGAATTTTGAATAATAATTATTTACGTTAAATCCAATAGTCGAAAATGATGGTGTTCTCCAGTGGATTGCATTCCTCCTAACCTTAAAAAAAATAAAATTTTTCCGAAAGATTATTTAAAAGAGAGAGAGAGAGAAGCAAGAAGATAAGGGATAAAAAAGACGCGGATAGCCTACGCGCATCGGCGAAACCCTAGCGTCCGTATGTCTCTCAACGCGAAGTCCCTAGCAATCGATAGCATGCATTTAACAAAGAGCTTGGATCATTGGCTTCCAAGAGTGGCGGGGAACTGATGCTAGTCTAAACTTTGTGACAAGCCCGAAGGACAGTGAATTGTAGGATGTATAATCAAGTCATCCGAGCCTCCTTGTAAACAGGTGGATGGCAACAAGAAAATATTTAGTCTTCCTTCGACTAAACGTTTTCTTTTCGCTCACTCAGAAAGACGATATACACCGAACGTCTTCAAGCCTTTGGCCCGTGGGGATCGCATACAAAAGGTGAGTTAATCTAGGGCTTTCGTTTTGATTTCACGTTCAGCCACTGCCTAACAAATTTTTTTTTTTTTTAAATCAAAGGCGCCAACCCCCTAGCCTTACAGATTTAAAATGCGATCAGGGTTGCCAAAAGGATTTAACGTCTCCATGCCCTATTCTACCCATAGCTGACCACGATTTTTTTTTTTTTTTTACATTTGGTGTGTGTGTGTGTCTGTGTGTGTGTTTTCAAGATAGCCTAACAAATTTTGATCATTTTTATGCATGTGTGTAATTTTTTTTTTTGTTAAGTACGTGGTACCAAGTTAACGTCCCACAACAAATAAAAAACCAATCATTCCAACCCATACACCTAAAATTGGTTGGCATTTTTTTCCTAACAGTTTTTCTTGTTTATTTGTGTTTCCTTTTTTTGTCCAGAATATAGTTCCCGGAGACATCCTGGCACTCCCCTACAGTGTCACCTTCCCGCCAAACGGTTGCCCTAACAAAATCGAAAAGCTAGAGAGACAAACGGTCTTAAAACCAAACATCTAAATATATACACGCGAAGAAACAACAACAACAACAACCGCGTCCCTGCCTAGCCGCAAGAAGCTATGGAAACTGTAGGCACCTAATCTCGAGGCGGCCGCGACATCCTGTATGGGACAAAAAACACAGTTAGTACACTTGAGCTAAGCTAGTCCAACCTCCTCCACTCCATCCAACATCCAATTATTTTATTTTTTTTTTCAATAATTTACGTTTATTCCCTAACACCTAGGCGCATTTCTATAATCGTGGCGGACTGCGTCCGGGGAAAGTGTGAAGAAGCTACAAAAAAAAAATGTACAAAAAAAAAATCCTACCTAAACCAGAAGCTATAAATTCCTAGCAAAAATTACAAAAAAAAAGAAAAAAGTGTTATACGACACGACGATCCCCAGACAATCAGTACACGGGCCACTTACCTAACAAAAAGTATTAATAGAAATTACCTGCCTCACGCGCGCGTAAGCTAAGGAAAATTCGCGTACAATAGGGGGGGGAGAATAAGCCCTGACAGATTAAAAAGAAGGCCACCTCCTCCACTCCGACCGACCACGTCGACAAAAGCTAAAGGCTCTAGCTAAAATGCTATTGCGGATTCCCTAACAGCGGAACGCGTTTTGGAAAAAAAGATAAAGTTCCATAACAGTTCGGACTTGCAACCAACCAGAAACCAGACAAAACAACCACCATCGACGATAGCACAGGTTGAATTTTGAATAATAATTATTTACGTTAAATCCAATAGTCGAAAATGATGGTGTTCTCCAGTGCATTGCATTCCTCCTAACCTTAAAAAAAATAAAATTTTTCCGAAAGAGTATTTAAAAGAGAGAGAGAGAGAAGCAAGAAGATAAGGGATAAAAAAGACGCGGATAGCCTACGCGCATCGGCGAAACCCTAGCGTCCGTATGTCTCTCAACGCGAAGTCCCTAGCAATCGATAGCATGCATTTAACAAAGAGCTTGGATCATTGGCTTCCAAGAGTGGCGGGGAACTGATGCTAGTCTAAACTTTGTGACAAGCCCGAAGGACAGTGAATTGTAGGATGTATAATCAAGTCATCCGAGCCTCCTTGTAAACAGGTGGATGGCAACAAGAAAATATTTAGTCTTCCTTCGACTAAACGTTTTCTTTTCGCTCACTCAGAAAGACGATATACACCGAACGTCTTCAAGCCTTTGGCCCGTGGGGATCGCATACAAAAGGTGAGTTAATCTAGGGCTTTCGTTTTGATTTCACGTTCAGCCACTGCCTAACAAATTTTTTTTTTTTTTTTAAATCAAAGGCGCCAACCCCCTAGCCTTACAGATTTAAAATGCGATCAGGGTTGCCAAAAGGATTTAACGTCTCCATGCCCTATTCTACCCATAGCTGACCACGATTTTTTTTTTTTTACATTTGGTGTGTGTGTGTGTGTGTCTGTGTGTGTGTTTTCAAGATAGCCTAACAAATTTTGATCATTTTTATGCATGTGTGTAATTTTTTTTTGTTAAGTACGTGGTACCAAGTTAACGTCCCACAACAAATAAAAAACCAATCATTCCAACCCATACACCTAAAATTGGTTGGCATTTTTTTTCCTAACAGTTTTTCTTGTTTATTTGTGTTTCCTTTTTTTGTCCAGAATATAGTTCCCGGAGACATCCTGGCACTCCCCTACAGTGTCACCTTCCCGCCAAACGGTTGCCCTAACAAAATCGAAAAGCTAGAGAGACAAACGGTCTTAAAACCAAACATCTAAATATATACACGCGAAGAAACAACAACAACAACCGCGTCCCTGCCTAGCCGCAAGAAGCTATGGAAACTGTAGGCACCTAATCTCGAGGCGGCCGCGACATCCTGTATGGAACAAAAAACACAGTTAGTACACTTGAGCTAAGCTAGTCCAACCTCCTCCACTCCATCCAACATCCAATTATTTTATTTTTTTTTTCAATAATTTACGTTTATTCCCTAACACCTAGGCGCATTTCTATAATCGTGGCGGACTGCGTCCGGGGAAAGTGTGAAGAAGCTACAAAAAAAAAAATGTACAAAAAAAAAATCCTACCTAAACCAGAAGCTATAAATTCCTAGCAAAAATTACAAAAAAAAAGAAAAAAGTGTTATACGACACGACGATCCCCAGACAATCAGTACACGGGCCACTTACCTAACAAAAAGTATTAATAGAAATTACCTGCCTCACGCGCGCGTAAGCTAAGGAAAATTCGCGTACAATAGGGGGGGGAGAATAAGCCCTGACAGATTAAAAAGAAGGCCACCTCCTCCACTCCGACCGACCACGTCGACAAAAGCTAAAGGCTCTAGCTAAAATGCTATTGCGGATTCCCTAACAGCGGAACGCGTTTTGGAAAAAAAGATAAAGTTCCATAACAGTTCGGACTTGCAACCAACCAGAAACCAGACAAAACAACCACCATCGACGATAGCACAGGTTGAATTTTGAATAATAATTATTTACGTTAAATCCAATAGTCGAAAATGATGGTGTTCTCCAGTGGATTGCATTCCTCCTAACCTTAAAATTTTTCCGAAAGAGTATTTAAAAGAGAGAGAGAAGCAAGAAGATAAGGGATAAAAAAGACGCGGATAGCCTACGCGCATCGGCGAAACCCTAGCGTCCGTATGTCTCTCAACGCGAAGTCCCTAGCAATCGATAGCATGCATTTAACAAAGAGCTTGGATCATTGGCTTCCAAGAGTGGCGGGGAACTGATGCTAGTCTAAACTTTGTGACAAGCCCGAAGGACAGTGAATTGTAGGATGTATAATCAAGTCATCCGAGCCTCCTTGTAAACAGGTGGATGGCAACAAGAAAATATTTAGTCTTCCTTCGACTAAACGTTTTCTTTTCGCTCACTCAGAAAGACGATATACACCGAACGTCTTCAAGCCTTTGGCCCGTGGGGATCGCATACAAAAGGTGAGTTAATCTAGGGCTTTCGTTTTGATTTCACGTTCAGCCACTGCCTAACAAATTTTTTTTTTTTTTTTAAATCAAAGGCGCCAACCCCCTAGCCTTACAGATTTAAAATGCGATCAGGGTTGCCAAAAGGATTTAACGTCTCCATGCCCTATTCTACCCATAGCTGACCACGATTTTTTTTTTTTTTTACATTTGGTGTGTGTGTGTGTCTGTGTGTGTGTTTTCAAGATAGCCTAACAAATTTTGATCATTTTTATGCATGTGTGTAATTTTTTTTTGTTAAGTACGTGGTACCAAGTTAACGTCCCACAACAAATAAAAAACCAATCATTCCAACCCATACACCTAAAATTGGTTGGCATTTTTTTCCTAACAGTTTTTCTTGTTTATTTGTGTTTCCTTTTTTTGTCCAGAATATAGTTCCCGGAGACATCCTGGCACTCCCCTACAGTGTCACCTTCCCGCCAAACGGTTGCCCTAACAAAATCGAAAAGCTAGAGAGACAAACGGTCTTAAAACCAAACATCTAAATATATACACGCGAAGAAACAACAACAACAACCGCGTCCCTGCCTAGCCGCAAGAAGCTATGGAAACTGTAGGCACCTAATCTCGAGGCGGCCGCGACATCCTGTATGGGACAAAAAACACAGTTAGTACACTTGAGCTAAGCTAGTCCAACCTCCTCCACTCCATCCAACATCCAATTATTTTATTTTTTTTTCAATAATTTACGTTTATTCCCTAACACCTAGGCGCATTTCTATAATCGTGGCGGACTGCGTCCGGGGAAAGTGTGAAGAAGCTACAAAAAAAAAAATGTACAAAAAAAAAAATCCTACCTAAACCAGAAGCTATAAATTCCTAGCAAAAATTACAAAAAAAAAGAAAAAAGTGTTATACGACACGACGATCCCCAGACAATCAGTACACGGGCCACTTACCTAACAAAAAGTATTAATAGAAATTACCTGCCTCACGCGCGCGTAAGCTAAGGAAAATTCGCGTACAATAGGGGGGGGGAGAATAAGCCCTGACAGATTAAAAAGAAGGCCACCTCCTCCACTCCGACCGACCACGTCGACAAAAGCTAAAGGCTCTAGCTAAAATGCTATTGCGGATTCCCTAACAGCGGAACGCGTTTTGGAAAAAAAGATAAAGTTCCATAACAGTTCGGACTTGCAACCAACCAGAAACCAGACAAAACAACCACCATCGACGATAGCACAGGTTGAATTTTGAATAATAATTATTTACGTTAAATCCAATAGTCGAAAATGATGGTGTTCTCCAGTGGATTGCATTCCTCCTAACCTTAAAAAAAATAAAATTTTTCCGAAAGAGTATTTAAAAGAGAGAGAGAGAGAAGCAAGAAGATAAGGGATAAAAAAGACGCGGATAGCCTACGCGCATCGGCGAAACCCTAGCGTCCGTATGTCTCTCAACGCGAAGTCCCTAGCAATCGATAGCATGCATTTAACAAAGAGCTTGGATCATTGGCTTCCAAGAGTGGCGGGGAACTGATGCTAGTCTAAACTTTGTGACAAGCCCGAAGGACAGTGAATTGTAGGATGTATAATCAAGTCATCCGAGCCTCCTTGTAAACAGGTGGATGGCAACAAGAAAATATTTAGTCTTCCTTCGACTAAACGTTTTCTTTTCGCTCACTCAGAAAGACGATATACACCGAACGTCTTCAAGCCTTTGGCCCGTGGGGATCGCATACAAAAGGTGAGTTAATCTAGGGCTTTCGTTTTGATTTCACGTTCAGCCACTGCCTAACAAATTTTTTTTTTTTTTAAATCAAAGGCGCCAATTCCCTAGCCTTACAGATTTAAAATGCGATCAGGGTTGCCAAAAGGATTTAACGTCTCCATGCCCTATTCTACCCATAGCTGACCACGATTTTTTTTTTTTACATTTGGTGTGTGTGTGTGTCTGTGTGTGTGTTTTCAAGATAGCCTAACAAATTTTGATCATTTTTATGCATGTGTGTAATTTTTTTTTTGTTAAGTACGTGGTACCAAGTTAACGTCCCACAACAAATAAAAAACCAATCATTCCAACCCATACACCTAAAATTGGTTGGCATTTTTTTCCTAACAGTTTTTCTTGTTTATTTGTGTTTCCTTTTTTTGTCCAGAATATAGTTCCCGGAGACATCCTGGCACTCCCCTACAGTGTCACCTTCCCGCCAAACGGTTGCCCTAACAAAATCGAAAAGCTAGAGAGACAAACGGTCTTAAAACCGAACATCTAAATATATACACGCGAAGAAACAACAACAACAACAACCGCGTCCCTGCCTAGCCGCAAGAAGCTATGGAAACTGTAGGCACCTAATCTCGAGGCGGCCGCGACATCCTGTATGGGAAAGAGTGGTAAGGCCCCGAGTGGGGGGATAAAAATAGAAGGCAGCGGCATCTCACCAACAGACCGTTGACGCAGGAGCAGGACGTTCCAAGGGCAGGCTTAGGAGATTTCTTGAAGAAGTAATTTTTGTTCGGTGGACGTCGCCCCTTTTATACACCAACTCATGTTTACAAACAAACCGGAGCGCCCCTAGCGGACGCCACCGGCGCCGCGCATGCGCGGTGGATGGTGGGCAAGAAGCCCGCCGTCGCCCATAAACAAACCATTGAATTGCGTTGTTTTCGGCGTCGGTGGGAGTCCCCGTGCTCTTTTTCGCGTTGGAATTGTTGATGCTACGTCCTCCTAACAATGTCTGACTATTTGAGCGGCTTCAGCAAAACTAACGAGGCAAAACTTTGCGTGAATAATGTGACGTGCGTCGATTCATTTCACGTGGACGCCGCAGAATGGGCGCTAAAGCCTGACTCCCACGATGAGATTCTGCTCGCTGTTTTCAGACGCGACGTTGCTCGGACTGCAAAAGCGCGGACCGTAGCTGAGATGGTGGACGTCGATACTGAAAACCGCAAGTAGAATCGGGCATTACAAGTCGGTGATGGCCGCTGGTAACAATAATGATAAACATCTTCTTGTATCTGTTTACACTATAGCCTACTTACCCCAACCAACCTTCAAAAGTGTTTTGAGGCCTGCACTTAGTTCTTATCGCAATTACCGGGTCAACTTTTGGTTTCCGGGCCGCTGTCGTTTGGACGAGCTGACGACAAAAAGCAGCCAAGTTTGAAAGAGCAGACGACAGTTCGAACGCACGCGTAATGGGGTACGGGCAAGAAGCACCGCGTCCCGCGTCAACAAACCACTCGAATTTCACGTTGTCGGCGTCTGTGTGAGTCTGCCTACTCTTTTTCGCGTTGGAATTGTCGATTCTACATCCTCATCGCAATGTCTTACCACTTTAATCGCTTAAGCGAAATTATCAAGGCTCGTTACGCCGCTAAACTTTCCGTAAATAATTTGACGTGCGGCGATTCATTCGCATGAACGCCGCAGAATGGACGCCAAAACCATGATGAGATTCTTCCAGCTATTTTCGGTAGCGACGTCGCTCGTGTTGCAAAAGTGTAGAAGGTAGCGGCGATGATCGACGTCGATACTGAAAATCGGAAGCGGGAACAGACCAAGCGTAACAAGTCGGTGATGACCACCGGTACCAATGATCAACATCTTGTATCTACTTTTTACACCGAGCCTACTTAAGTCTTTTGAGGTCTGCAATTACTTCTTATTGCAATCACCGGGTCAAAGTTTGGTCTACGGGCCGCTTTTGTTTGAACGAGCAGACGACAAAAAGCAGACGTTTGAAAGAGCAGACGAAAGTTTGAACGTTCAGGCGGCCGTGTGAATTTGAAGACGCACTGAACCCGTGGGTGGTTCGGACAACTTGGCGGTTTTTTCTCGTTTATGTTGGAACAAAGCAAATACATCTGGCGACCACAAAGTGTTGCCCGCACAATCAATCGTAGTTCGACAGCGTCTGGTTTACCCTTTTCACGGCTACTATCCACGTTCTCGGACGCACGGAGGGGGCAAAAACACATGAAAACTGATCTTCAAACCTTTCCAGACTCTCTTGGTACAACCCCCGTCGCAGCATTTTGACGAGGAAGCAGGTTTTTTGTCTCGTTTCTTCCAAGGGAACACAGGAATGCATGTCTGGCACGGCGACTTCTGCCCACCGCCACAGACCGGAAGTGCGTCCGGCGCGCCACCACCGCGGCGTGACGTAGGAAAGTTGAGTTGGTGTATAGCAGCTGCCGAGGTGTTTAGAGGTCTGAAAAACGAAACCTTTTGCGAAAGAGAAGACACGAATGATTTTTTTTCCTTAACATCCCAGCTCTTTAGCATTTGTAAACAATCGCTAGATGCAGCTGTGTTATGATATTACGTCATCGTGTTGACTGTTTTATCATTTTGAAATACAAATTTTTTGAACATGTTTTCATTCACTTTCATATGTCTCTTTTCTAATATACATATATTGAAGTGATGTAATATATATGAAATATGATACGCGTTTGTATTTTTGTTGTGTTATTTGTATATACTGTGTTTTTCTATTTGTATAACCTTATTACCTGTATAAAATGTATATATTACAGAAGATCTTATATAATAAACCAAGAAGTGTATATAAACACATAACATGACATTTTTTCAATTTTTAAGTGATCACAATGTTTAACCGAATATATAGGTTTTATAACTTTGTAACCACAGATACGCTGCAGACGATCTGGAGGGCTACATTATCAGTTAAAAAACCAAGTTATTCGATTTTTAAAATAAACTACCGATACACAGCGAACGGTCGTACGATCATACTACATAAATTATAGAAAAACAAATATTGGAGTCTCTTGAAGGGGACATTTTTTTTCACGCACTCGGAAATAATGCACTATTTACATATAGTATACGGATACAAATTGGTGGTCTAGTGGGTTTTTTTTATTTAATAGTACATAATCGTGACAGTACAAAATGTTGTTGCGAAGTGGATTTTTTTACGATTACCCTAGTGATGTGAAAAATAATGTTATTTGTAATAATAAGACTACTGTTGTATTGAAAAACAATCCTTGTAGAAAAATATTCCAGTTAATAAAAATCATCTTTCGATATTTATGGAGATATTATTTCTACGAAAGATTTAAAACACAAAAACAATATGACAACATACCTTACTGATTACATTACACTTGCTACAAAGATGACGATGGGGTTACCAATAACTTTAAGCATATACTCTGCTGTACATAACGCAAAATACCCATACGGTAAAACGTTTGACAGAGTGACTGTACACGAGTTGCCATCCGGAAACATTTCTGAACTTCACGATATTAAAGAAATACATTCTCCAGTAAAAAAAGACGTACTTAATTGTCCAGAAGTTTACGGTCGTCTTGTTCGTTATCAGTTTGGTGACGAAATATATTGGCGTTGTCGTTCCAGTTATCCAGATCTAGTAGATGATACTGGTAATGTTATATGTTGTAAAAACGGAACGTTTATTAGAGCAAAAACGGGAGAAGCCTATATAAAGGGATATCACAACCCTACGGAGTTTGAGTGTACATCTTGTCCACCTGGTTTTGTTCCAGGTGGAAAGGGTAAACGCGGATACAATGTACAGTGTATACGAGACCCTTGTTATCCTGGGAAAAGTGTAATGACTACATCACTACATATAACCCTAGGATATCACTCTACTCTAAACACAATGACATGATTGTGTCCAAAGGGATATGTATCGTGTCCAGGACCTGCATTTTCGGAATTAGATAACTCTTATATATGTCCTCGATCAACAAATAGACCCATATGTGTAGAAGATCCATGTGATCCCTATACATTGTCTTACAAAAAAACTGTGCAATTACAGGCCATGGCATATTACGATCACGCTAAGGGAAATTGTGTGCCTAACGAAGGACATATCGATTTATCCAAATGGATAATTGGATTTTACGAAGGTGGTCCTAAACGTGGTGTATTGAGCCATTTTAATTTATGTTCTACAGTATTTAATGGATACGCAGGACTTGCACAAGTCTTAAGACCTACAAGAACACCAGAAGTACCAAGTGAGGCTTGGTTGAAAAATGAAGTATCACACATATCATCTAAAATAGACAATGACACTCATACAGGGAGAAAACTTTATTTGAATGCATTGACTCGAAGAGGACAAGAATACGCTTTATAAAAAGAAATGTACGTGGCAAATTATCTAGCCACATCTACAATTACGGCGGACGTTTTAGCACGCGTCATGGTATTGGTTTCTAAGAAGAATAGAAAGCGAAAATATGTTTTTGCTGGTAACGCGTCTAGTGAGGAACTTTTTAAAACGCAAAATGCACATTCTGCTGTTTTGGGGGAGGTACCGTTACAAACACTTTCCACGATACCCATTACTTCCTCGGATTGTCGTGAAAAAGATGGTTTTGTGAAGACTTCAATCAAAGATCTCGTGAAAAACAAAGTAAATTCTGTTGCGGTAAACATACTCGATACAATCGATTTCCTTTGGAACGGAACGACATTAGATGTGACGCAGGTATACTGTCTCCCCAAGGTGTTTACACAGCACATAATAAATAGAGTAACCAATGCCACTGGTATGTTGTGTAATGCATATACAGGTTACGAAATTATAGCATACAATAAAGGTAATGTGACTACGTCTTGTATGTGTAAATATCCGGATATTTTTACAGGTTTAACTTGTAATAAACAAGTTGCATGTGGAATTCGTCAAGCGGATGATACGGTAGTATATTCACGTTTGTTAGATCGAAAAACGAACGAAACAGTGGATCCATTAGATTTTTTAATTGGAAAGAGACCTGCATCCTCGCTACGCGAAATATATACTGACGGTAGACCTAGATTCGTGTGCGATTGTAGAAATGGATATCCTTCGTTGAGATTAACTCACGTAATACATCCGTTACAATGCATGCCAGATCCGTGTTTTCCAACGCTAAATGCTCTCCCTCACGATGCCGCTCCTGGTTTAGATTGGGATATGCGTTGTCAATGTGGTAACGGCGACGTTACACGGCTTAGGGCAATGGGATTAAGACAATCTCATTGCATACCAATTAAGCCACATTCTGTACTTCACGATAAAAACAAGGCTGCAGAGTACATAGTTAACAATACAAATTGTTTACCGGTACGCATGTTGGCAGGTGATGGACCGTTTATATTTCCGGAAGAACACTACGCACACGCAAAGTCTGACGGTCATTTCTATGCTGAAGCGGATCCTTGCGACTTTTGTGAAAAATTAAAAACGTCACTAAAAACACTCACTGGGTATGGTGTTGAGGGAACAATAGGAGATTTCGAGTTGGCTAATTTTTATAATTTGCCTATAACAAAGGATACAATATGTACAAGAACTGCTAGTGCCAGAGGGGTATGCAGTGTAACTAGGATGCGAGATTATAAGTATTCAGAACTGCATAGAAAACCTTTTACTTGCACAATGGCTATATCACCTGAAATGGATAATCGAATGAAATTTTATGCTGCACAATTCAA